TTTCAGAAACACCTGGAAAGACGCAAAGTGAAACAAGCAGTCTCCACAGTATCAACAACATGGTGTAATGATCAACTATGAATGCCTAAGCTCTTCTCAGCAACACAAAGATCCAAGATAATTACAAAGTAAAATGCTATCTACATCCAGACAAAGAACTGATGGATTCTGAATGCAGATTGAAACACACTTTTTTTCACTTACTTCATTCTTTTTTGTTGTTTTTTTCCCTTTTGATCTGTTTCTTCTTTAACAACTGTGACTAATATGGAAATGTTTTACATGATAGCACAAGTGTAAGTTACATCAAACCATTTACTGTTTTAGGTCAGGGAGGGAGGGAGAAAAATTTTGAATTCAAAATCTTGTAAAAATGTATACTACAAATTGTCTTGAAATGTAATTGGGAAAAAAAATACTGCTTTTTAAAAAAAAACCTAAATACAAAGTAATTTGGAGGTGTAGACAGACACTGGCTGCTGGAAGGAATTGGACAGGATTCATGCAGGAAATAGTTCTTAAGTTGAGTGTTGAATGATTCTTCAAGGTATAGATGAGAAAGGAGAGTCTTCCAGCCTGTGAAAAGGCATAAAAGTAGATAGTGTGTTTGGGGAACAGCAAATTAGGCTGGAATGTACAGTGTATGAAAGGGAATATTGTGTAGTAAGTCTAGAAAGGTAACTGGCGCCAGACTGTGAAGATCTTTGACAAATATTTAGAGGGAAATCTATATTCGATCCTACAGGCAAGAAAATCAGTGAAGGTTTCTGAGCAAGGGTGTGACATGATGAAAAATACCACCTGGACAGCTGTGTGGGAGCAGAGAGATTAAAGAGGAGGGTATTGCAAGTCTAGGCAAGTGGTGACAGGGATAGCTGCAATATGAGCAGAGAGAAGGGGACAGGAGTTATTGAGGAGACAAAGAGGATGCTACAGTTGCAAATCTAGATGAATGGAAGGAGGGTAGTGTCCTTGACAAAAATAGTGAAGAATGTTGATTTTGGGGGGTGGGAAGGATGAGATCTATTTTGAATATGTTGAGTTTGATATGCACATAGTAATACAGTTCTTATAAAACATAAAAAATCCCAAACCAGAAAAGCCAAATATCAAGAAACATGGCACCAATGTTATGAAGCATGGGAAGAGTGAGTGAAACACCAAGGAAAATAAAAAGAAGAGAGCAATAAATAGAAACAGTAGGATTTAGATGAAGCTCCTAGCAGATGTGATGGCTGCAAGAAATTATGAAGCAGAGTGGGGATGAAGTCAAGTGCCAATAATGAAAAGAAAAATGAATCAACCCATAACACTTCAGTTGCCTCAAAGTGTTTCCATTGTGTTGTACTTAAGGCATATTACTTGTACTACTGTATCTGCAGCTTTTGTGTTTAGTAAAGTATGACCCACTTCAGTAGCTTCTACAGACATCAGTATATTCAGACAATACTGTGCTGAAGGAGCACCAACCATGGTAACAGAGTGGTGCAGCAGAAGGCTGAATCATAAAGAGTAAGTACAGGAGCAGAACAAGTACAGCCCAGGCGTCATCTTACAACACGGCCTCAAAACTTCTTCTGATGAGTATATCAGAAAATGTTCTTATCTGCCCCAATTCAAACAGAAAAGGCAAAAAAAAAAATTTTAGGGAGAAGTTGAAAATGACTTCCCCCCCCCAATAGGTGGTTTTGGCACTTAAAAGAAATAGATATTTCATAATACTGGTGAAAAACTGCAGTAAACTATGAAACAATTTTATGTTTTTCAGAAGGCTCTTTTCTAAACACTTTACAAACCTGGTTTATTTTGGTTAAGTTTGCAAGTCTTACTCTGTCAGGTACTAATGAATCAAGTGCATGATTTTGAACAGAATAAAAACATGCTGCTTCTGTATGTGCTAATGACACAAATTCTATAAAACAAAAACTTTTATAAAGAGAAAATTTCATCTTCTAGAACTGCCTAAAGGTTTCACAAATTTATCTTTTATATAGAGAGGATAAGCAAATATGTAGACAAAGATATGTTTAAATGACTGACTCTGTCATCGTTAAAGTGCGATCACTTACTTATTTCACCAAAGCACCAAAGTAACCGAAACATCATTTTGGAACTAATGGCTCACTTGAGAAATTCAAAGTAATATTATAAGACATTATAGAATTAAACTTGAAGAAACAGACTTTTATATCATCTCTTCCTGCCCCCGTATTTTTTCTCATTGACATAAACTACTTTATTTAGACTCATTACAGAAGAAAATTATGAGAAAATTGTTTCATCATGGAGGCATCATGACACATGCTATCATATTAATAAATTAATAAACATGCAATTTTATAGAAAAATGTTTAAGACCTACAGTGTGAAAGACTAGGTTCTAAAGATGGAAAGATGAAAAACAAAATAGTCCTTGTCACCAAGGAGCCTTAAGTTTAAAAGGTGGGGAAAAAATGCATAAATATACATATGATGTGAGCTAGATAAGGACAAAGAAGGGGCCTAGCAAAGGCACTATAAAAAAATATGAGAAAGATATCACTACATTTGAAATGGGTCTTGAGAAAATAGAAAGATTTCACCAGGAAGAGATGCAGAAGGAAATTCCAGCCAGAGGGGATGGCCTGCTTGAAATCACGTTAGAAAGGTAAGGATGAAATGAGGGAATAGCTATTGGTCTGGTCTGGCTGGAATACAGAGTGGGTGAAGTGTAGAATCAAATAGAAATTGAAAGGTCAGTCAAAGCCAGTTTATGGATAGCCTTAAATGTCAGGCTTCATTTTAGAGGTAAAGAGGAGCCAATGAAGGTTTTTGAGCAAGGGAGTTACACCTATATATCAGAAAGTTTATTCTGGAAGTGGTGTGAAAGATATACCAGAGAAGGAAGGGAATAGAGTAGGGAGACCATTTAGGAAGTTATTATAACAGTCAGAGAATCATAAGATTATCGTGCTAGGACTGGAAAGAACTTCAAGAGGCCATCTAATCCAATCTTCACATTTACAGGTGAGGAAACAAATCTAGTGAGGTGAAATGATTTGTCCAAGGTCACAAAGGTGATCAAAGATGGGATGTGGACTTCTTTCCTCTTAGGAAGGATGTTGACTCCAAAGCCAATGGCTGTGCTATCACCTCCTCATCTAGGTGGGGTGTGAGGAGGGCCTGGACTGCAGCAACGGCAGAGGAGGAGGAGAAGACAGTCCTGACTAAAGACGGGGAAGAGCAAGGCAGAATCAATATCATGTGGCATCTGACTGGATATGTGGAGGAAGAGGGAAAACCAAGGAAGACTATAAGGGCTGGAGTATAAGTGATGGGGAAGGCAGTGACACCTTTAAGTTTTGGAAAAGCTTCAATTTTGTGCATGTTGAGTTCGAGGCACCAAGAAGATACACAGTTAGAAATATTTTTTGCTATCTTATGGAATAACTTCTATTTGGTATATTCTAATTTTTAGAGATTCTATTATTTCTTGATGTCTATTCTAGTTTTCAGAATGGGTAAGAGTTACTACTTTCTCTTCTAAGCTATTTATTTGCCTTCTAATTGTTTCCTCAGCACAGTTAGGTTGCACAATGGATAGAGTGCTGGGCATGGAGTCAGGAAGACTCATCTTCCTGAGTTCAAATCTGGCCTCGGATACTAATTAGCTGTGTGACTCTGGGCAAGTCACTTAACCCTGCTTGCCTCAGTTTCCTCATCTGTAGAATGAGCTGGAGAAGGAAATGGCAAACCACTCTAGTATCTCTGCTAAGAGAACCCCAAATGGGGTCATGAAGAGTCACTCACAACTGAAACAACTCAACAAAAACAAATCTTTCCTCTAGAGTTTCTATTTATAATTTTTAACGTCTTGCTTAATTTCTTCTAAGTATTCATGTAGTCATTGTGGAAAATCTATTCCCTCTCTGAGTCTCTGCATGCAATTCTTACAGAATTGCTTGATTTCCTTTGGGGCATCTCTAGATTTGTAATGATTTTTGGTACTGGACTTAGTAATTTTTTATATTTTGATTTACTCAGATCTCTGGCTTTAATTCTTGAGTTGGGGTTTTATGCCAGGATTAGGCTCTACTCTGCCATCCCCATCACTGTATTTTTGAGTGGCGTAGGTGGTGCTCTTTGGTCTTGCCCAAGGTCACCTGGGTTTCTGCCCTGAATTCTACCTCCCAAGGCTAGTAAACTACTCTGAATATTTAAGGAGCCCTTTTAGGACAGTGTGAACTGGTTAATAACTTCCTGGATCTGGGGTTCTGAGCTGAGTGCTGCCGAGTCATATAAGTCACTACTGATACTATCCAGCATTTACAAAGTTCCTACCCCAGGGCTTTCTCCAGGGAGCTCTCTGCTCTTTCCTTTTGGCCAGAAGAGTTCTCTCATAAAGCTTTTGTAGTGATGGGAAAGTAGGTATATGGAACTGTAGTTATTGATATTTTTTGGATTACTTTTTTTTTTAAGGCATTTGGGGTTAAGTGATTTGTCCAGGGTCACACAGCTAGTTAAGTGTCAAATGTTTGGTCTGAGGCTGCATTTGAACTCAGGTCCTCCTGACTTCAGGGCTGGTGCTGTATCCAATGCACCACCTAGCTGCCCTTGCAGTAAGTTTTTCTGATAAAAGTCTTATTTCTAAGATAGATATGGAACTCATTCAAATTTATAAGATTAAGAGATATTCTCCATTAGATGATCAAAAGATACGAATAGGAAGTTTTCAAAGGAAGACATCCAGGCTATCAACAACCATACCAAAAAAATGCTTCAAATCACTAATAATTAGAGAAATGGAAATTAGCAACTCTGAGATCCATTTCACACCTATCAGACCAGCAAAGAGGACAAAAGAGGAAAATGACAAATATGTCATCTTTCTAACTTTGAAAACAAAGTTCTTAAAAAGTATGAAAATCTTTTAGTTTTTGTGTTCACTCACTGATAGGCCATCTTCCCACAATGTCAGATTCACAGATTACATAAAGTAGTATGTTTTATTGATTACTTACTTTAATAGCAATGTTAATTGAAACTTCCTGAATATTAGAGAGTTGTGGGTAAAGTCTTCCCTGGGCTAGCTCCTTTTCTGTCAATTGTTCTGTCAATGCCTACAGAGAAAAAAAGTATATAAGCACAAGCATTATTTTATATCAGAATCATCACAGGTACCTGATGAGAGGTTACAAAGAGTTATTATGGGAAATTAAATACCACAGACATATGAAAAACATAATTACACAAAAAAAGAAAGGAGTAGTTTGTATACTTAGTGTTAAAAATCTACCCAGCAAATATGTCAAAAGATCATATTCTGAAATTACAAGAAACCTCAAAGACCATCTATTCTAACTTGTAATTTTATAGGTAAGGAAGCTGAGATCTAGAGCTATAAAATGATTTATTTAAGCCCACACAGACAGCAAGTACCAGAACTAAGATTCAAAACAGGATTTGGCTCCAAATCCATTATTCTTTTCAGTATACAAGCTTGATATTACCACTAGACTTCAACAACTATTTCAAAATGAACATCTGTGGCCGTCCTCAAAAAATAAATCTTACTTTAGAATTTATGTTGTGGAGACTAGAATTCAAGTGACCCAAATACTTCAAGTAAAATCAGCAATGATTTTGAGGCATTTTTTTCTGTAGTCAAATGGAAAAATTCAGTATTATAAATGAAATGTGGTAAGATTTCTGGTTTAAAAAAAAAATTTAAGAAATACAGTTTTTAAAATTACTCTACAAAACGCACATCTTCCTGGTGGGTAAGCCAGAAAAGCCACAGGTATACTACTTTGACTGCCAGACTTATTTAACCTATTCTCTCTACTAGTATGAATAGCAACTTATCACATGTTCAAGTTCAATTCAGAAAGCATTTTTAAACACCTACTATATACACCAAGCAAAGAAACAGAAACTGGAAATACAGAGACAAAAATGAACTCTGCTTTCAAAACTTTCTACTGAGGGGGTGGGAATAGAAAAAGGGAATTGAGTTCAGCATCAATAAAGCAAACAGTTACCTTTTCAAAAGAAATTATTTTATTTTTAAAATTATTTTTTGAGGGTTACATTTTAAGTTCTAAACTGTCTCCCTCCCTCCCTCCCCAACTCTCTCCAGAAAAAAAAACATTTGGGGTGTGTGTGTGTGTGTGTGTGTGTGTGTGTGTGTGTGTGTGTGTGTGTAAAACACACTTCCATTTATTGGTTCTTTCTCTGGGGGTGGATAGCATGTTACTTTGTAGTTAATTTGTGTATTTATAATACTCAGAATATCTTAGTCACTTCACAGTTGTTTTCTGAAAAATATTACGGTTACTATATACAACCTTCTCTTGGTTCTGCTCATGGGAATTCTTCATTTATTTCATGCAAAGTCTTTCCATGTTTTTCTAAAATTATCCAGCTCATCATTTCTTACAGCACAGCAGTATTCCATTACAATCAGACACCACAACTTGTTCAGTCATTCTCCAACTAATGAGCATCCCCTCAATTTCTAGTTCTTTGTCACAACAAAGAATGCTGCTATAAATATTTTAGATCAAGTATGTTCTTTTCCATTTTCCCTGATCACTTTGGGAAACAGACCTAATAGTGGTATTGCTGGCTCAAAGGTTATATACAGTTTTATAACACTCTGGGCATAATTCCAGACTGTTCTCCAAAATGGCTGGATCAGTTCACAGTTCCATCAACAACATATGAGTGTCCCAATTTTTCCACACCCCTCCAAATTTGTCATTTTCCCCTTCCAAAACAGTTACCTTTGAAGCTTCTAGAAAGACTTGATCACTGATATGCCGAACACCACTAAGAATTACAGCTAGAGCCACACCTAGAATAAAACGTTAAAATAAATTATTCAGAAAATTCACCTCATATCACATGAAATTTTATGCTTTTCAAAGAGCTCAAATAAGCAATAATAATTATTTTTCATTTTATGAAAATTCCTTAGGTTAATAAAAAATGAAAACTCCACAGAATACTCAGTTCCTTCTGCTAATCCCCCAAATCCTGGCACGGTTTAAACAAATGAAAAACTGAACATTAATGTCAAAAATAATTACGTCAATATGTTTATGGTGATATCAAGCTTCACTAATAAAAAATGAGACACTATGGTAAAGCACAGAGAACATTCTTTGCATTCAAGTCAAGAGACAGGTTCACAATCTAACTCTATCATTTACTAGCTGTGCAATCGTGGGGTAATTACTACTCCTCTGTGAGCCTCAATTTTCCATTTGGAAAACAGGGATAATAAAATTTGCTCTGCCTGCAGCATAGGGTAGGTGTGAAAAATGCTCTTAGGTTTAGTCTTTTCTTTTCATGGTTCTTCTTGGTACAGGGCTGGGTCCCCTCAGTCAGAGGCCTAACACTGCCTTATGACGACTATCCCATATACTTCCTGAATTTGCATCTCTTACTAGCCAGGTTATGAACCAGGAAGTGGCTATTTGCCAAATAATCACCAAGTAGTTTAGGGATTTGGGGAACAAAGTCCTGGAATTCATCTGTCAAAATTCTCCATTACCGTTTCTGGTGGGGTAGGGGTGAGTGAAGATTCAAGTATCAGCCTACCCTTTCTCCTTGTTTATAATGATGCCTCCTTGGGCACCCTAATTATGTGAGATAATTTTCCCTAACTTTCCTTATCCTTTTCTCTCCACTCATGTATTCCTCTTCCCTTCTTTATCTATTCTCTTCAGATCATCAAGATATAACAGAACCATTCCCAGGCTTTGTCTATTTAGATTCCCTCTCTGACCCTTGATGATGATAGGGTTCAGTGGGGTCATATGTAACATCTCCCCATACTGAAATGTAAGTAGTTTATCCTTGTTTAGTCTTAATCATTGCTTGTTTACCTTTTAATGTTTTTCTTCACTCCTATGTTTGAACTTCAAAGTTTCTATACAGCTCTGGTCTTTTCAGCAGGAAGTCCTTTATCCCTCCTTCCTTCCTTCCTTCCTCTCTCCCCTCTTCTCACCCTGTAAGACAGTACTCAGTTTTGTGGGATAAGCTATTTTTGACTCTAAGCCTATTTCCTTTGCCTTCTGGAACAGCATATTCCAAGCTCTCTGTGCCTTTGGTGTGGTGACTGTGAAACTGTATGAGATACTAACTGTAGTGCCTCAGGACTTCAATTCTTTCTTTCTGGATGCTTGCAGGACTTTTTCTTTGCCCCGGAAATTCTGAATTTTGATTATAATATTTCTGGGAGTTTCCATTTTGGGGTTTAAGAGATGACCAATGGACTCTTTTCTATTTCCACTCTGCCTTCTGCTTCTAAGAGATCTGGGGAGTTTTCTTTCAGTTTTCTTACAATATTTTTGGCAATAACTTTCAGATAGTCCAGTGAATAATTTTTTTCCTCAATCTGTTTACCAGGTCAGTTCTTTTCACTATGAGATATGTTAAGTTTTTTTCTAGTCTTTTGACTTTGTTTTAATATTTGTTATCTCTTCATGGAATCATTTGTTTATATCTGGTCCATTATAATTTGTACTTCTTGTGCCAGCCTGTTAATTCCTGTTACAATTCTTCTAAAATTCTCATTTGTTTTCCAATTGTTTTCCTTTAGCACTCTCATTTTATTAACAAAACCTTTTTTCAATTCTTGCTTTATCTCTTCCAGGAATTCTAGTTGAATCTATGCCCAAGCTGTATTTTTCTGTGAAGTTTTCCTTGTCAGAGTTTTGGAGTCATTCTCTTCTCCTTGTGGGTTTGTGTCTTGAGCATCCCTGTCACTCTAATACCTCTTGATGGTTGGATTCTTTCTTGTTGTTGCTGTTTGCTCATGCTTCCAGCCTACTTCCTGACTTTGTGATTGATGTTAGGACTGGGCTCTGTACATTCTGGACAAGGTCTGAAGTGGTTCTGTTGCTGCTTTCAGTGTTGGGTTATTCCAGGATCTCAGGCACAGCTGAGGCTGAAGACCTGCAAGCTCCCAAAGGGGTCTGATCCAGGGCAAAGTCTGATTGCTGCCCCTCCCTGGTCCCAGCTCTTGAAGTTCGTGACTTGGGCTTAGGTCTGAGCAGAATTAGATTCTATGGGACTCAGGCCCTATCAGCCATCTGGAAAGTTGTGCTGGCTGCCCTTTGGTCTGGAACTCCTGCTCTAGTGGAGCCTCCTCTTCAGGTGGCAGAGCTACACTGCTGCTGCTTGCTTCTAAACCTGTCCTCTCTTTATACACAGTGCTAGATGTGTGGTGGGGTGAGGGTGGGAGGGGGAAATGGGGTAAGGGGAAAGGCCCCTTCATCTCTCCCTGGATCCATAACTTGGAAATGGATAGTGGGGACCAGTGTTACCAACTGGCACTTGTCCCTGTGGAGATGCTCCCGTAGCAGTCTGGACCTCTGCTTGCAGCCTCTTCCCATGTTGGAATGCATCACTCTCTCCTTTTTTTATGTGAATTTTGGCTGAAAAAATATCTCAGGGTAACTTTGTCTTGGATTTCCCCACTAGGATTCAGTCTGGGGCATTTTCTAGATCTGTTTGGAGGAGTTTTTGAGAAGAGTCTGTTATACTGCTTCCTGCTACTCTGCCGCCTTGTCTGTGCCTCTAGTGCTTGCCTCACTCATTCTTAAAGGCAGGGGAATGCAACCCTAGTACAGCCTACCAAGCTACAAAGGCTTTGAATCACCCAGTGACAGACTGAGAACTTTAGCTTAGCTAAGTGTGGAAAGCCTCATTACTAGTCTGGCAGCAAGACAAGGGATTTTTTTTTTTTTGCCAAACCATTTTCAAGGACCATTTAAGTTGAAGGTGGGGGTGGGTAAAGATCTGTGTTGGTGGCTAGAGTACCTACACCAACAAAATTATAGCTCCTTGAATTCAAATACAGTCAAATCAAGTATTCATGCCAACAGAAGAGAAGAGTGGTGTGGATAATACAATTTAAATTTGCTTTTAGCTTTCCCCCCCCACTCTGGTTAAAAAATTTAATGGCTTTTTAGTCATTAAAAAAAAAATTTTAAGGGCAGCTAGGTGGTACAGTAGATAGAGCTCTGGCCTTGGAGTCAGGAGGACCTGAGTTCAAATCCAGCCTCACACACCTGACACTTATGTGTGACCCTGGGCAAGTCACTTAACCCCAACTGCCTCACCAAAAAAGCAAAACAAAACAAATAAACAACAACAAAAAATCAACAAAAAAATCTTTTTAAAATTTTCTAGCTCTTAATATTTACTGGCTAAAAAACCCCACAAACAATGAAATTATATGGCTTTAATGTTACTGCAGAAGGATATTATAATTACTGTCACTACTCATTCACACAGCACTTCACAGTTCATACATACACCGCCCCCCCCAAGTACTCTACTTAAGTTATCTCACGTGATCCCTGCAACAATCTTGTGATGTAGATATTGCAATTTTATGATTCTCCCCATACCAAAAAACAAACAAACCCAAACAGACTCTATGTTTTGTTCTTACATTTGAATATGATGTATCTAATGCTTAGGGAGTTCATAACATTTAAAAAAAAACTGGAGTAAAATGAAGTCTCTCACCAAAGTATGTAAGTTTTTCTGCTTCTCTGTCTAATTCCATCCAAATGGTGAATTTCTTTTTTACCATCTGAATATCTGTAGTTGATAACATTACTTTTCATATTATAGCAAAACTTGTTTAAACAGAATTATTTTTTCTGTGTTAGTTTCCTTATAGGGAAAAAGCCTGGTATTTTATTGCTTACATGTTCTACTGCTGATAAATACAAAGCAAAGGATAACGAGACATTTCTCTGGATTCTCTTGATTTTCATGTGGATTCTATTTAGTTTTGATTGATCCACTGATATAGTACTGTATTATAGATTACAAACCTCAAATTTCATAAAGCTATAAAACCACTGGATTTGAAAAACACTTTGTTCTTTTGTAGGAAGAACAAAGTTAGAACTATTTATTTCTTTGTGAGGAGAACATTCTTCCCACCAATTATTTTTTTCTTTTAAGGTGTGTGTGAGTGTGCGTATATGTATGTGATTAAATCCTATGCTGTAAAATATCTTTGGAGTTTACCTGGGAAAATATAAGCATTGTTTCCTTGGCCTGGGATAAAATATTTCCCATCCTTTAATCTCACAGGCTCAAATGGACTACCACTGGCAAATAAGCATCGGCCCTGTTTAAACAAAATAAAGTATCAGGTAAAGATATCTTTAACAAGCATGTGACTTTTTTTGAACTAAAATTCAGTGGTGAATCCACACAAATCAAGTCCTACAGTTATAAAGCAAAAAACCAAGAGATCTAAGTCAATATTCCAAGTGTAATAAATACCAGCTAATATTACAACATGAAAAAAACCCAAAATTCACACATTAGAATGAACAAGAATGTACATTACAGAATAATCATACAAAAATGTTGCTGAATAATTTTGGAAAAATTAATTGCCAAGACAAAAGACTTCATAATATTTATGTATTCAATTTTAAACCTGAAAACCCAGGATAAAATGCCTTGTACTCCTGGGAAAGGTTAAGTTTATCAATATTAGTCATCTCACAACGTGGCTGTTATTGTGTACAACCTTCTCCTGGTTCTGCTCACTTCACTAAGCATCAGATCATACAAGTCTTTCCAGGTTTTTCTGAAGTCAGCCTGTTCATCATTTCTTATAGCACAATAGTATTCCATTACATTCATACACCACAACTTGTTCAGCCATTCCCTAATTGATGGGCATCCTCTCAATTTCCAATTCTTTGCCACCACAAAAAAAAAAAGAGTTGCTATGAACATTTTTGTACATGTGGGTCCTTTTCCCACTTGTATGATCTCTTTGGGATATAGCCCTAGAACTGCTATTGCTGGGTCAAAGGGTATGCACATTTTTATAGCCCTTTGGGCATAGTTCCAAATTGTTCTCCAAAATGGTTGGCTCATTTCACAACTCCACCAACAATGCATTAGTGTTCCAATTTTCCCACATCTTCTCCAACATTTATCATTTTCCTGTTTTGTCATGTTGGCCAGTCTGATAGGTGTGATGTGGTACCTCAGAGTTGTTTTGATTTGCATTTTTCTGTAATCAATAATGATTTAGAGCATTTTTTCATATGACCACAGGTGGCTTTAATTTCTTCACCTGAGAACTGTTTGTTCATATCCTTTGACCATTTATCAATTGGGGAGTGGCTTGTATTCTTATAAATTTGTCTTAATTCTCTATATATTTTAGAAATGAGGCCCTTATCAGAGAGGCTGGTTGTAAAAATTCTTTTTCAATTTTCTACCTTCCTTCTAATCTTAGTTGCATTGGCTTTGTTTGTGCAAAAACTTTTCAATTTAATGTAATCAAAATTATCCATTTTGCTTTTTGTAATGTTCTCTATCTCCTGTTTGGTCATGAATTCTTCTGTTCTCCATAGATCTGATAGGTAAACTATTCCTTGCCTAAGCAGCATTTATAAGAAATGTTAGATATGAGATAAATTTTTATAAAGTGAATCATTTTCCCATAAAGTATCAAAATGTCAGAAAGTTGATTAATGAACAATACAACCAGCCATTTGAATATTCAAAAATTATCTGTAATAAGCAGTGTTAAAGGATACCATGAGGTAAAGACTGCATGAGGTAGACCGCAGCTGGATTTAGACTAACACCATAAAATAATAACAGCACATTTTCACAATGTTAAGCTATTATGCAGTTTCTTACTGTCACTTCTATTATGAATTCTGAAAAGGCAGGTGACAACCAAAAAATAAAACAAAACAAACAAAAAAAAGGCAGATGACTGATTATACTTAGTGGTCTAATTCTACCCAGGTCATTTAATTCTTATAAATAAGAGTAAAGAACAACATTTGGACTGAATAATTTTTAACATTAAAACACTGATGTCTATGTTATTTCCTCTCACTTAGTCCCCTGAACAATATTAATATCCTACCTCTAAAATAGGTTAAATGAAAAAACAAAGAAACAAATAAAATAGGCTAAATGAGATGTTAAAAGAAAATATTCTCAAACAACAGCAGAGGGCACTAGAATATCAAAATCATCTAATATGTCTTCCCTGAATAAAAGCTACAATTACATATAAAACAAGACCATAAAATAAAGGACTATTTTCTTAGAACAGATTTCAGAATACCCAGGATCACAGGATTTAGAAGCTAGAAGGTACTTTAGAGATCTAAGAAACTCTCTCAATTCGGATGGGGAAACTGATGCCCAGAGAGATTAAGCAACTTTCCCAAATTCACAGGGGTAGTTAAGTGGGAGAGTAGAGATTTGAACTGAGATCTCTGGACCCAAGTCTCTTTCTGTTATGCAGGCTGCTTCTTTTAATATTCTTAGTGGTCACAAGTCTTCATCTTTTGAGAGGAGATTTGATTGCTAGAAGGAGTCAACAGTTAAGCACAGAGTTTAAGTTAACATATTCATGCAGTATGAGGCAGAGCACGCATCTGAACTGCACTACACATGGCAAACAGGATGCATGATCAGGCTGGACAGTGTTGTTTTAGGTTAAAAATGGAGTATAAATCTAAGGTAAGGAGACTAATTTTCTTGTATGGCTTATGAATGCGTAAGAAAAGTTCCAGAGAACCTAGAGACCAGTTGATCTACCTAATGCTTGAGTGAGAAAAGCCTGGAGAGTTTCCCCAACAAGTAGTCACCAATGTTTGCTTAAAGTTCTCCAGTGAAGGGGAAATGAATGTTTTCTCAAGTAGTCCATTTACATTTTAAATAAAAGTTTCGTCGTATTAAAAAAGATGTAAAAAAAAAAGGACAACTCTGTGTGGGCCTTACAAGAACAGGCTGTGGCAGGATGTGGCCCTTGGGTTGTAGTTTGCCAACCCCAGGTCTAGATGATTTCATTCCCAAGTTCCCTTGACTCAATTTCTGATGATTCTTTTTCACTTCTTCCTTATGTTGCTACCACAAATATCTCTCTCCAGGGATAAGCCTGGGCTGAGCCTCATAGTTCCCGTGTCTCTATATAATTTTTTTTGTGTAAAAAAATTTATTTTTGGTTTTTATAAAATTTCCTAAAGGAGAGTCCCCAAAATCTTTAGGAGGTCACTGGAATAAAAGTACCATTCTAATACAGCTACCTCAAAGGACACTGCTTTGAATCATAAGATCCTAAAGGTGAAAAAAACCTAGTTCATATATTCCATTTGCCTGCGCTATGGAGATATCCCTTCCTACACACTACTGATAGGCAATCGACTAGGCTCTACTTGAATACTTCTGACACAGAGCTTATTACCACATGAGACAGCAAATTACATTTTTGGACTACCAGTTTTCCTTACTGATTACAGAATCACAGAACCATAGATCTAGAGTTAGAAGGAACCTCAGAGGTCATCTGTCCAATCCTGCCATTTTACAATGAGGAAAGTAAGTCCCAGAGAGTCGAGGGAACTCGACCATGGAAGAAAGCTAAGACTAACTCAGATCTTGTGCTTACTTCCTCTTTTTCACGAAAGACCGATTACCAGCAAGGTAAGTTATCAGGTAGCAATGAATTGTAGAATGAGAACTCCAGATGTCTAGCTACCTATCATTATTATTAATGTCATATTTGTGCCGGATTTGTAATCTACTTCAGGAAAGAGTCAACCAGCATTCTGCAACAGTACTATACTTTCTTGTTTCTCCTTTCACATTCTGTACATGCCATGTTCATTCAAATGCTCTTTTAAATAGCCTAAGTTCTTAGAACTACATATTGAAATGTTTTTAATATACTTTATATTTATATTTGTTTACATATGAGCATGCTATATATATGTGTGTGTGTATGTGTATAGATCTATTGGTAGATATATCTAACATATCTACCTATATATGTTATACATACATACATACATACATACATACATACATACATACACATGTGTATGCATATATATGTAAGCTCCTTGAGGGCACAGACTGTTTTTATTTTGTCTTTGTATCCCTAGCACCTAGCATGTAACTGGCACAGAGGAGGTGCTTAACAAATGTGTAACAAATTGAAGGGAATTTAATTTGTATGGAATGGGAGGGGTTAAAAATGAAATTCTGGTTTTATTCACTTATGAGCAATCCTAAATAGAAAGAAAAAAGGAAGGTAGAATCAGCATAGGTGCAATGCAACCTATATGACTCAAAAAAGGCATAAGGGGACAAAACAAGAAATACAGAAGAGTAGTATGCATAGTGTCTGACACATAGTAGGCACCTAGTAAATGCTTCCTTTTTCACCAACTGAACCTGTAAGAAAAGTTTCAGGAAGACTGGAGCCTAGAATGATTCAAGGCTCTCAACAAATACTAAAGAAAACCAAAGTTTAAAAGTCTGTTCACGTATATTTGGAACAATATGCGATAATAATAGTAACAGTTTACACGCTTACTTTTTAAAGTGATTAACCCCTTGCAATATGCTTTACATGCATTATTTCATTTGATCTTCAAAACAACCCTGAAAGAGACATGTTGTAATGGAAAGATTATTGGATTTAAAATTAGAAGACTAGGGTTCAAGTCTTATTGCTGCTACTTCCTACCTATGGGACCTTGATTAAGTTACTTAACCTCTTTGTGCCTCAGTTTCCTCATGTGTAAAATAAGGATAATAAATTCTCTTATTACCAACTACAAAAGGCTATTGTGATTATGACATGAAAATACATATAAAGCACTCTGAAAACTGAAAAGCACTGTCAGGTAGTAGTACAAATTTTATTACTAACATTTGGAAAATGATGACACTAAAGGTAAGAAGTTAAGTGATAGGTAATGTCAGAGTAAGGACCTGAACATTCTGGGCATTTTCCTTAATACCACAGCACATGCCAGAGAGTTTAATTCAGGGGTGGGGAACCTGTGGCCTCCAGGCCACATGTGGCCGGCCTCACGTTGTTTGGACTCAGTGAAAGGCCGCACCTGAGGACCTATGGAATCACACGTGGACTCGAGGCTGCAAGTTCCCCACCCGTGGAACTGTTTGGAAAGATGGTATAATTTTAAAGAAACAGAGAAGGAAGATTCCTCAACTCTAGTTTGTTTCTTCTGAAAGAACAATTCTTCAAATGGAAAGACCAGAAAGTCCTCCTGAAAGAAAGGACTGTTGCCCAAGACAGATGAGGAAATAATCAGATGGAACTTAGCTGCTTTAATTTAGACTGCTTCTAGTCTAAATCATATCTGCAGTTTCCTTGAGCACGGAATGCAATTCTGGATCATGGAATTACATTCCACGCTCAAGGAAACTGCAGATATAATTTCAAAATGACTCTGTGAGAAATCACTGAGAAAGAAAGAAATACCAGAAGACTGGAGACTTGACAAATCCTGCTAACAATGTCAAAAAGGGTAGATTAAGAAACTACAGACCTGGATATAGAACAGATATTGAGAAAATGGTAGTATAGCTGGGCTCCTCCATATAACTCCTCCAAACAGATCTAGAAAATGTACCAGGCAGAATCCTAATGGTGAAATCCAAGAACAAGTAACAGTGAGTTATTTTTCCTGCACAGGTTGGCAACAGGGAGACAGACTAAGAGGTCTTTAGACCCTGGAGATCAGTGGCCAAGGAAGCCAGCCATTGCTTGGGGATTCCAATGTAGGGGAGCAGATGTGCACCAGGGCAAGCAGAGGTCCTAGACCCACACCAGGGGACCTTCATGGGGACAGGTACCAACTGGCAGCATTGTTGCTCACTTTCCAGTTTGCTGTTACAGATCCAGGACAAGCCTAGGAGGAGATGTATGCCCAGGATGCTATTCTGTTAGGGAGCAAGAGTCCCAAGGCAGCATACTGAGAAAGAGCAAGTTCAGAACCCAACAGCAGCCATGTGGCTCAGACCAGAAGAACACAGCAGAATCTCGAGTGCAGTTTTAAACATAGTCTGCAGCCTATAGAGGAATATCCAGGGCAAGAACTCTACTCTAAAGGGTATGTACTTCCATCCCTCTGAGCCAGCAGATATTTCCAGGGGGCTGGGTCCAGCAGCATCTACTGTTGCTCAGACCTAAAGCCAGCTCAGAAACTTGCAGAGCTCAGTCCAGTGGGCAGCGATCACTTTGCCCTCAATCAGATCTGTGTGGGAGCGCTAAAAGTTTGCATATGTCCCCGGTTTGAGCTGTGCCTGAGATCCTAGAAAAACAATTCAGGAGTTTTGGAGTGGATGAGAAAGGAAGAATTTTGCTAATTGACAAAAAATATATCATCAAAAAAAAGAACTGGTATTCATCTCTGTGAAGAATTCTAGAATATACCAGGAGCCAACATAATTTCCTGAGAACAAATCAAGCCACATTAACCTTATTTCCTTTTTTTTAAAAATATAATTAGCCAAGGGAAACATACATAGAAATATCAAATGAGAATGTATTTGAATCATTTTTATCATTTATCAAGTGTCAACTGTTATTATTTGGAATGTGCAGAATGTCCCAAAAGCTTCAGTGCAATTTTAAGTTAGCTTAAAATTGAACTTAAAACTGCACTGAGACTTTGGACCCTTGCATATTGATTATATCAAGGCTATTAACCAGGCCTCTCACCATCTTCATGAATAAGATGATTAAATATGAGCAAGTATTTGTTAATCATATTAGCAGGCTAATGAATAATGGTTCTATGTCAAACAGGAAGAGACTCAAAAAGTATGTCCTAAGTAACAAGGCCATCTGGAATACCAGGTTTCCAGTTTTCATAATTATTACACCCCCTATATTTGTCTTCCTTCAAAATAAGAAAGCCACATAAAAGATATCACAAATAAAGAGACTATGATTTTATATTTCCCCCAAACTGAATTTTAACAAGTTTCATACACAGCAAAATACCGTAGAATAAATTATCATTATCCATAAGCAAATTAAAACCAACAACGTGGTACTTTCCCTATTATTCCCAGTTGAGTGTCAGCTTATCAAAGATGGGAAGGGTCAGGGGGCAGCTAGGTGGCGGAGTGGATAGAGCTCTGGCCTTGGAGTCAGGAAGACCTGAGTTCAAATCTGACCTTAGACACTTAATACTTGCTAGCTGTGTGACCCTGAGCAAGTCACTTAATCCCAACGGCCTCACCAAAAAAAAAAAAAAAAAAAAAAAAGGAAAGGGTCAGTGTTGTTGTTTGTCCTTCACTCTCAAAGAGGACCAGGTTGAAGGCAGTTCCTATATGATGGCAGTACATCTGATTTTCATCCATGCCAAACACAAATGATTTAAGACCTGTTTGTGCTCCTTTTCCTCCCTCCTATTAGTGTGGGCAAATTAGACCTATCTTCTTTTGTCCATTTCTTTTTATCTAAGATAACTGCTCTTTAAAACCATCCAAAACTGTAAGGTAATTACATTTTGAGTACTGCTTTTAATAACTGATCAATTCAGTTCAAATAATACTCTAAAGAAAATAATTCTTCAATCAAGCTAGACTTTCATTTATTTTTCTTTTAACAAAGTCTAAAATACAGCTAAACAATTTGAACAAGACAATGTGCTTATTTTTCATCTTCCTCTTATAATTAATACAATTGAGAACTTTTAGTAATGTCCGAATCAGTTACATTCCAAATTCTACACAGATCAAGTTCTATTAATGTACAAAGCATTTAAAATAGCCAAACTGGAAAAGACTGTTCATAATAAATTTTTGACTACTCAGAATTAAATCTTAAAAAGTTCTATTTGTTTTTAAATGTAATACATTCTTTTATTGCTAATTATTACCTCTGTAAGTGTGTATGCTTCTTCAGCTGTGCACTCCGCTTTTGCTGTGGGATTACTTAATGCAAATATTACTGGCCGTTCATTGATTGAAGCCATGGCTTTGATCACATTAGGAGTAAAAAGTCGGCCAGCACCTGCAACACCTGTAATATAAGAAAAATAAAATACTTCATTATACAAATAATAATTATAGAGGAAATACATAACACCTTTCTCCTCTTTTCATAATTAATTACTTGTAAGGCACTGCTGGGATTTGGGAATACAAAGATAATAAAACAGCTCTGGATCTTGAGGAGATTACATTCCTCTGTGGAGGGAGAAGAGGGGCCACAACATGTACACAAATATGGCAAGTATAAGGAAAACTCAGAAAAGAAAGACCACTAACAGCTTCGGCAATCACAGAGAGGGTAGCGCTCAAGTTAATCCTTGAAGGAAGACTAAGGTTTTGAGGCAGAGAAGGTTTTGAGAGACAGAGACTGGAAGGAAGTGCATGTCACAAATGGGCAGAAACTTTTGTGAATATATGAAGGTAGAAGATGGGGTATTGAATTTGGGGAATAACTAATAGTCCAGTATGACTGGCACGTCAAGTTTCTGAAGGGGAATAGAATGAAATAAAACTGGAAAGGTAGATAGGAGTCACAGAATGTGGAAAGTTTTAAATATCAGGCATTTTATATATTACACTAGAGGCACTGGGGAACCAGGTTTTGCAGCAGAGAGAGTGACATGGCCCAGGCTAGAGTCTCAAGAAGATTATTTTGGAAAGTTTTTGGAGGACATGCTGATAATACTACTGAGAAGGTGATCAGTTTTGTTTTACCTCTAGGTTCTACAGACATTGCTTTACACAAAGCAAGCATTCAATTTTTGAGTGTTGAACTGCCCATACTTTTTAACAACATTGATTTGAACAATATTTCATCACTGCAAAAGAATTTGTATAGCCTAGAAAATTATAATGAAAGAAACTATTTCTAAATCCCTCAGGTAGTTCAGAATTATAGTGTTTTGTAAATCACATCATTACAAAACTTACAAGTCTCAGATGTTTTTGTGTTAACAAAATAGCGGCCCACTTATTTCAAGCCCTATTCAATGCAACAAAATTTTAAGATACCTGGACTTGTCCCTAGAATTTTTATAAAGGGATATAAATAACAAAATTGTGTTTGCTATTGCAGTGAACATTCTGACAGTCTATTACAAAGGTCTTTTGTCCCTGGACTTTTTCCTTCTGAAGCCTTTGTTCAAAAAAAGGAATCTTAGTATATCATGGTGGTCTTCTATCTTCTTTAATCTTTCAGCAGTCCAGTGTTTAGGCACAGACAATTTTTGTATTTTGCTAAGAACAGACTGATAGACAGGCAGCTAGGTGGCACAGTGGATAGAGCACTGGCACTGGATCAGGAGGACCTAAGTTCAAATCTGGTCTCAGACCAGATACTTGATACTTACTAGCTGTGTGATCCTGGGCAAGTCACTTAACCCCAATTGCCTTACCAAAAAAAAAAAAAGACTGATAAAAAAAGAAGAGTTCTTAGAGGTCATTTAGCCTAACCCATTCATCTGGGAAACCTGTGGCAAAGCACGGTAAAATGAGGCCATATGTAGGCCACAAAGCTAGTTAGCCACAAGGCCAGGAGTAGAACTTGGATCTCCATCCTCCTAGCTCAATGTTCTTTCATTCTCCTTACAGACCTGAATGCAGTATTTCTGATTGTGTATATAACATCATGAGATAGCCTGGCATCTTAACTTAGCTTTATTCAGAATCTAAGTCCATTATTCCTCACTGACTTTACAAAGCACTCCATCGTGAAGTATTAGGAAATAAAAATTTAAGAGCACAGAAACAATAATTCCTAGATGATGTGCTATACTTATATCATAAACGACAAAGCTGTAAGTAAATATTAATCTTATGCTAAAAGGATGAATTAATTCATTCCTTGACAAGTACTTATTAAGGTATATAAAGAGCTCTATGCTAGGTATTAGTGGAGGCACAGTGAATCGATGAGATCTCTGTTCTCATAGAGTTAGAGGGATGTGATGTGCTCACAATCAAATAATACATGATAAATGGGTAAGAGGCCAATAAATCTAAGGGACTAAAAGTACATTAAAATTGGGAGAAGGTATTTGAATTAGACTTTAAGGGAAAGGTAGCTATTTCAACAGGTGAGACCTGCAGGATATTCTAGGTATAGAGAATACTATGAAGAAAGGTAGAAGTGGGTACAGGGTATGTACAGAAAATTGTGAGTGTGGATAGGAAGAGGATGAGATAGATTAAAAAAGAGGTGGTGCTGTATTGTGAAGGTCCTTAAGTATGAGGATAAGAAACCTAAATTTCTATCAGTAGGTAATCAGGAGACACTAGAGAAGCAGAGCAGTGATATTCAATTCAACCAATATTTATGAAGTGTAATGTCCTTAGCTGGGTGTGAGGTTTGAACAGATTTGTATATAAAGAAGATTATTTTGACGATGAAGTGATGAATTGGAACAAGGGGAGTGAAGGTGGGAAGACTGGTTACTATAGATGATTATGAGGGCCTGTCCTGGGGTAGTGGCAGTGGGAAATGAAGAGAGATGTATCATAGAAGAGCAGACAGTGTGATTAATCACGTGAGAGACAAGGAAGGCGGCAAGTATCAGAGCTGACACCAAGGTTTTCAATATGGGAACATGTATGTCTATACCTCAAACTTGTCTCTTGCTGGAGGCAGCATTAGATTGTATTTGCTTAACAAACAGAACGACAAATTGGATTACCATCTTTACTCACCAATAATAGCTGTAGGTTTCAATATATTTACTGCATCTTCAAAAGTATTAGGTATGTTTTCAGGAGGTAAGTGAGCAAATGGTTCTTGATGGCTATCTATCATAGCTTTCCTTCCCTATATTTCCAAGTGAAATAATACTTTTGTTAGTATAGAAAAATTTTAAAGTTATAATAAAGACATCATTTTTATAAGCATAACCGTATCTCTACTTTAGTCATATCCTTTCATTTTCCTTTATATCTATGAAGTGTTCCATTTTATTTATCCTTCCCTATCTGAGGATCTTTTTCACTTCTAAAATTAGCTATTTCCTATTGATGTCCTTTATCAAAATTCCCTTGCTCTGGAAAATTCTCTTAGATCTCAAAGATGACAAAAAATGAAGGAACATGACAATCAAAATAGCTTTTGGCTCCTCCTAGTGTAGAGTTTCCTCTTTTTTCTTTTACATTTTATACATTTTTTTCTTCCTAAGATTTCCTGTGTTCACCTTTGTCCTATGTAATTTTACTGCCAAAGCTCTGGTCTACCACTGCTTATGACACTGTAAGATCCCTGAGAGTAGGGACCACATCACATTCAATTTTTGTGTTCCCAAACACCTTATAAGGGGTACATGGTAGGTGCTTATAAGTTTGCTGAACTTAACTTGTTGAACTGCAATAGCTTTTCTACCTGTCTGTTTACTCTTCTTTCAATATAACTTAGACTTAATAGAAATTTTGCTTTTTCATAAAGTAGTACTTTAATATTGGCATTCCTCTTAGAAATATATACAACAGCTCCCAATTAATTTTAAAAAATATTATACTGAGGGGCAGCTAGATAGGCGTAGTACATAAAGCACCGGTCCTGGATTCAGGAAGACCTGAGCTCAAATACGGCCTAAGACACTTGACACTTACTAGCTGTGTGACCCTGGACAAGTCACTTCACCCCAATGCCTAGCCCCCCCAAAATAAATAAATAAAGTTTATTGATATTCCTCCCCTCACCTTTTTTTACAGGACTATTACTTCCCACTGGCCTCTACCAGTTTACCTCTACCCACCCCATAAAAACTCTCCCCTGGAACAAATAAGTACAACTGAACAAGGTAAATACACATATTCCAATTATTTCCACTCAAATTAAAACTAATTATGGGTTTCAAGCATGCTCTGAATTTCAAACTAAATTCTACCCTGTTCCCCCATTTTGGAGAAGGCATAGGATTTTTGCAAAGTATCTCTAACACTTCTCTCTTCTCTCTCACCCTCCCTCTTCTTTTTCTCTTTTTCTGCCTCTTCCAAGTTCTAAGCAAAGGAACGTGGTCAGGGAGAGAAGGAAGAAAGTAACATCTCAGAAGATCACAGATACAGAGCTCGAAGAGACCTCGGAGGCCATCTAGTCCAAAAGGTTCTTTACAGATACAGATACTGAGACTCAGCAAAGGCACGTTACTTGTCACATGTCACACATTAGTAGTAAGCATTACAGCAGGATTTGAATCTAGGTTCTCTTGACTCAAACAACCAATCAATCAACCAACAAGCAGTTATTAAATGCTTACTATGTGCCAAACACAAGTAAGTGTTGGGGACAAAAATTCAAACAATGAAACAATCCCTACCCTGTTTTATTTCATTGGAACAGGGAACTCCTTGTAAAGGAATTCCCTCTATGAATGTAGGTCAGCATTTGCTCTACAATTCAGTCTCAGAGAGTTGCCTTGGCACTTTTGAAAAGTTGTATGATTTGCCTAAGGTCACAAAGCAAGCATATATCATGTGCCTCGGTCATCCTGAACTTGAGGCCAATTGTTCATACACAGGGGCAGCTAGGTGGCACCACGGATAGAGCTTCGGCCTTGGAGTCAGGAGGACCTGAGTTCAAATCCAGTCTCAGAGACTTGATACTTACTAGCTGTGTGACCCTGGGCAAGTCACTTAACCCCAACTGCCTCACCAAACAACAAAAAATATATAAATTAATTAAAAAATAAAAACTACTATTGGAGTCCAGCCATCCAACCAGTTACATATACAACTGATTAAATGATTGTTTAATATACATCTCTCCATTTTTTCCACAAGAAAAGTATGAGACACTTTACTAAGATTTAGGTAAATGCATATAAGCCCTGCATATGTCCTCTATTCATTGAATAATTCTGTCAAAATAAGGAAATGAAATTAGTCTGGCATGTTCTCTTCTTGATGAAGCCAGACTACTTTGTGTAATCACTGCTTCTCTAGTGAGAAGTTCACCAAGACTCTCTAATGATTTTTTTGGACTGGTATGTTGATGGAAGGAGTAACCAGCATTAGGAAGAGTGATAAAAAATGAAGTGTTGCCTGGAAAAAACTTGGGTTTAAGCCTAACTTTAAAACACTTCAAAAAGGATAGAGTGTGAGAAGATGAAATATAGAATAAAGGGAAGTTTGTTAAAAAGAGAGCTAAAGTTTTAAGGGAGGGTGGGGAGTGATGGAGCTAAGGACAACAGACATCTAAGTTGAATTATAGCAATCAGGGGAGTAAGAGATAAGAATCTGTTAGCTGCAGGACAGGAGAGGTGCTAATTGACTGGAGTTTATCACAGCTGGGTTCTACAGTTTGACAGTAATGGAGTTGGGAAAGATAGTGAGGGGAAAGCAGCCATTTTAATACTAGGCAATACCCAGATGAGGCTGCCACTTTATTCCTCCACACTTCCTCTTCACAAGCCTTAAGGCAGGCTGGTGTTGGAGTCAGGAGGGTAATGTGTTGAAGAGGGCTTTAGTCCTAGGCATCTCCTAGCTATTTCATTCTACCCATCCTTTTCTCCCCCATTCTTCCAGTGAAGAGTTGAGGCTGTGGAAGAAATTGGATATCTGTATTGGACATGGTAGTGGTGTCACCTTTATCTACCTGTGCTTTTGGTGGTGACAGAGAACTGAGAGATAGCCCATGCAATCTTCCTCACTTTAATATTCAACTTTTCTCTATCCCTGACTAATTCCTTGGTCAACCAAACTGCTAGAAAAAGCCACCTGCCCACACTACCTCCACTTTTTTCACTTACTTCTCAGTACTTCATCACTTGACTGAAACTCACCTTTCCAAAGTTATAAGTTTATAGCTACCAGATCTCTTTCTCTCAATCCTCTTCCTCCGACCTCTCTGCAGCATTTCATTGCCCTCCCTCTCTTCTGAATGCTCTCTCCTGTTTTGTGTGACACTTCTCTTTTGTGTGTCCACCTATTTGGCTGGCCATTCATTAATTTCCTCTAATAGATCACTATCTATGTCCTGCTTACCCTTAAATTGTGGACATCCAAGACTCTGTCCTGGGCCTTCTCTACCTCCTTCTTCCTCATCATCTCCCATGGACTAAATTATTATCTCAATGCATATGATTCTAACTTAAATATTCAGCCTTCATCTTTTCCCCTGAACTCAATACCCCATCATCAACTGCTGATTAGGTATTTTCAACTCAATATCCTTATAGGCTAATCAAATTCAAAATGTCCAAAACAGAACCTATTATTTCCCTCCCAAACCTACTCTCTCTTTAACTTCCCTACTTTTATTGAGGGCACACACCTCCATACTTGGTCGTCTGGGTTTGCAATCTCCAAGTCATCCTTGACCTTTTATTCTTCCTCATTCCCCCATGTCCAGAGAGTTTCCAAATTTTGTCAATTCTACCTCCATATCTCTCTCATCTGCCCCCTTCTCTTACTCACATAGCTAACAATCTAGTTCAGGGCCCAATTACATTTCACTTGAACCACTGCAAAATCATCCTAATTGAGCTCCTTAAGTCCCTTCCCTCTCCAATCTATTCTCCATAGTCAGGTGGCATCCACAGGGATGCTAAAATGATTCTCCTAAAACCCCAGTATGACCATATCATTCACCTGCTAAAAAGAAAAAGTTGCAGTGGTTCCCCAATCACCCCTAGGATCAAATACACATTCCTGTTTGGCATTTAAAATTCTATTCAACCTGGCTCCAGGTGATAGTTTTAGCTTACTGTAGGTTACTCTCATGCATCTTTTTGTTCCAGCCATATTTGCTGTTACTGGTTCACAATGTTGAATCTCCAATCATGCCTGAAAATCACTACCTCTTCACCTTTGTTTTTTGGAGTCCCTGATACCTTTCAAAGTCCATCACTTCCTGCATGAAGCCTTTCTTGACTACTGGTACCTTGCTATTGTCCTGGCCCTGTAATTTCATGTAAAAGAAACTCCCGGTTGAGTGAACTCTTTTATCATTGGAGGTCAGTGTCTTCCTTGAAACTTGTTTTCCTGGCCACTTGAACTCCAAAATTACCTTGTAAATATATTGAATTTACTTATGTGCACATTTTGTTCTCCCCACCAGAACGTAAGCTCCTTGAGAGAAGGAATTCTTTATTTTTTACTTTGTATCTTCAGTATCTAGCATAATACTTGGCACTTAATAAACATTTGCTGAATGAGAGGGAGTTCTGGAGACCAGAGAACTCCATACACTCTCCGTCAGAAATAAATACAGTGGGACTCATCAAGTAGAATGTCAGATTGAGTAAAAAAATTTTTTTAACGCATTGATTACACAGGATGGTTTTCAAAGACCTTAGTGCAGTTTTAACCTACTGCAGTTTTGTTTGTTTTTATAGCCATTTATTATCCCTCCCTTTCACTGTTCCCCCCCCCACTGAACAACAAAAAAAAATGGAAAACCCTCACAATAAATGTACATAGTCTAGCAAAAAATAAAAAGTATACATGTATGTGTGTACATATAAAAAAACATGAAACAGGTTATAGTCTAGCCCCCCCGCCAAATGTATATATGTATGTTGCGTGTGCACACGTGTGTGTGTGTGTGTGTGTGTGTGTGTGTGTAAACATGAAATAGGTTATACCTATTTACAGGTTGTTCCCAAAGGTGCAATTTTATTAAGGCTTAATAATGAAGCACAGAGAAGGGAAAGATAATGGCTATAAAAACAAATGAGGACAATTTAAAAATAAAATCCATATATTCCTGAAAAAATGTATGTAAAATATTTTTTCTAATTTTTTTTTACCTGTTAGAGTAGTTTACTACCTAAAACAATAATGATTTATTCTTCAAAGGATGAATTCTTTTATATTACAAATAATTTACTAACTACATGTTTTGAAAGCTCATATTTTTGCATATCTTGAAGTGAGACAAATCTATATGCAAAAAGGTTTATTTTTAGTTAAAAATTTATGGCATGTGTTGAGGGCTTAATGAAACACCTTCATGTTTTATATGGTCTTAGAGGTTACCTTACAAATACTGTTTAAAAAAAAAAAACAACCTAGAGTGCACACTCCAGCAGTCTTTTCTGGACTGTTTTCTCTTTTATCATAGCATATTTGAAGTTGTTCAGAAAACATTAATATAAGCTAAGACAATCAATACTGGCCAAAAATATCAATATGAATTAGTCTGGTTTTGTAAAATCAAGTACTTTGTACACAGTAGGCACTCAGCAAATATACTGATTTTATATGAAATCAACTTACTATCTATCATGAAAAGTAAAAATGTGCAAAAGGATAAAATCCAATGTAAATGCAGAGATGTACATTCATCCAACCTATCGTAAGTGAACACCACATAAACTGCTGTACTAAAAAAAATGACCATTTTTGAAGAGGTTGGTCTTATCCCTCAAAGGTAGGTAATTAACAAAAACAAAAACAGAACAGTTTTTGTTTTAAACAAAAAATTAAGCTGAAAGGTTAAGAAATCATAAAAACAGAACATTAAGAATAGGAGACAATCTGAAAACAGACAAAAATGCTCTCCCCTCATGCCCTTCCTTCAAACTGTAATCCATCAAAATGGCTCTTGAGTATGCCTCAGCCCCAACATCTGCTCCACTGGGTTCTCTCCTACTTTTGACCAACGGCATGGAGGACTCTAAGTCAATCAAAGTTAAGTGGGTAAGAAACAGTAGAAAAAACCCTCAAGAAACTGTAAACATCATCATCACCACCACCACCACTGACTCACCTTTATAGTGTACCATTTTCTCATTTATTTAGCAACTGCTATGTGTCGAAAACTCTGCTAGACTCTGGGGATAAAATTTCAAAATACCCTCAAAAAGGCATACACAAAGGTTGAGTGGCTGTGACTAATCCACCAACAAACTGCTATTAAGTAAAAGAGCACTCTAAGAAGAGGTACTTATTTTTCTGACCCCTACCTTTTTAATGGAAGCATCTCTGGCCAGGACTTGTAATAAGTTTTCTCTTTCCCCCGGGCAGTTTCTACTCTCGAGTACCTAACCCTCAATTTAACCCCTACAGAGAGTTTTCTCTGGGCATATTTATGGAGAGAGGAGTAGGAGAAAATGAGGCCATGTGCCCTGACAGTCTATCCTTGTTCTAGGCACTGAAAACAGCACTCTGATTTGTTTTTGGCCTAGAGCAACAGAAGAAAAAGTCCTGGATCTAGTTTAGTTCTGCCTTTTGGGAAATTTATGACAAATTAGTAATAATCAAAGCCACAAGATTTGTTCTCATTTTTAGCTTCGAGTCCTCACCTAAGATAAAACCCTAGTGTTTTGGAAATATAAAAGAGAAGGTATAAATATAATTTTCAAGAACATAAAACTCTCTCCAGTCACAGATAACTCTGTCTGGACTTATTCTTCAATGGTTAGTATAACCCTCTTGCACTTTCTGCATTCCAGTGATTCTAAATCCTTGCCCACAGAAGCAAAAACTCCATTTTCCAAGACTCACCACCTGTTTCCTCTCTCTTTCCCCTGCACCCTATCCTCCAAATGTCCCACTCCAGATCTTCCTCTTTCACCGAGCTCTCTGGAATGCCTATTCAATAATTAACAAATTTGCTTTCATCTTAAATCTTTACTGTTCTTACTCCTTCCCTCTTCTTCCACTCCTTGAGACCTAGCTCCTTCCCGATGACCCTGTAGTATCCTTGATGACCTTTATACTTTGTGGAGAGGGAATGTGAAGACTTCTTGCTCCCTGCAGCCACTTCAAGACTCTCCCTCTATCACTATCACTTTGCAACCTCTCCTCCTCTGCAATTCAAACTATTCCAATGCAGATGCAGGTGCTGTTATCTACTGACCCCCCTGACATCCTCCTGCCTTCCTCAATGAGTTTAACACCTGGCTCAGAGTCTTTTCTTCCCAACTCCTCCCCTCACATTAGGTGACTTCTTACAGTTCCTCACCCAGGGTGTGCCATCTCTTAACTGTGCCTTGTGACTGGCTGTTCCCCATGCCTGGAATGCTCTCCATTCTCACCTCTACCTTCTGCCTTCCTTCATGACTCAGCTCAAATCCTTTCTTCTTTAAGAGGCCTTTCCCTTATACCTTCCACTGCTAACGACTTCCTTCTAGCATTACCTACTATATACACTGTATATATCTTGTCTGTACATAATTATTTATGTATTACCTCCCTCATTAGAATGTAGAGGTAACGACTATGGTTTTGCCTTTCTTTACATCCCTAGAGTTTAGCACAGTACCTGGCACAAAGTAACAGTTAATAAATGCTTATTGACTCACTGACTGAAGAGGAATGTATTTCTTAGGAAAGAGAAAAATTACAAGGAGTACTGTGGAAGAAAAGCATCATCATCATCTATCTCAGCAAAACCAAACAACAATGTCCTAAATCTGTATGATGTCACCATGATTTAACCTCTTGCCTTGGCTGTGCTACAGGGAGGTACTATTACCTTTTCACCAACCCCAAAGTGAACCTCCCAGCCCCAAATCCCGCCTGATCTGAAATCCTTGAGTGGCTGCTCCCTGCTCTGCTCAAACTCCCGACTCTAAGTTTCTCAGCACCTTAGTTCAAACTCCCAGCTCAGAAGCCTGTTCAGGGGTGGGTTGGGAGCCTTTTAGGGTCTCATTAAAATTCTAGGGCTGAGCGTCTCTGACTCTCATTCAGACAGATGTTCCCAGGGTGTCTGCCTCTTTGGCGACAGCAAACTCAAGAGGTTCTGTTTTGACCCATGAAACTTCCTCACCACACTTTGTGTTAGAGATATGCCACTGGTTTTTTAAAAAAGTTATTTTATATTCAAGAGCACTATCTGCAAATCAAATGAAAACAAATTCCCCCCCCCATAGTAAGCTTCCAGAAGCACTTGATAACAGAAGTGAAACAATGAATTCATGACATCTGCATCTCACTAAAGGTTTCGGAGTCAAAGAACAGACATATTTTATATTCTCATACCTGCTCTATTCCCTGAACTAGAACAGTTCTAACTGAAATAACATTAATTTTAAATAATAAGACAGTTATGTGATATTAAGATGCAATCATTCATAAAATTAGATTTTTTTTTAAAAAAATCTTAAAATACTACTGAAAAAAAGTGTTTAGTTGTCTAAATTTCAATAGGAACCTTACCTTAACTAATAAGCCAAACTTGTCAAACATCCAGATATTTTTTCGTGCTACTTCTTCTGAAATACCATTTTCCACCATGGCCATAACAATGAGATTTGCAATCCCAAGAGCAGCCTGATTAACAAAATTTGAACTTCAAAAATCAAAGGAATATATTTCTTAATTTTATTAATTTGCATAAAGAACTATTTTATCCTTTTAAATCAAGACCAATATTTTTACTGATTATTGCTGTTGGAAATGACATAGGTTTCCCCTTCAAAAATCTTAAAGTCTGCATTCCATGAGATCCTCATGGATACATACATACACTCACACATTTCATGTAGGGATGCCATGAGGTATGTAGCTATCTACACACAGACATAAATATAAACATAAATGTGTATATATGCATATGTTTATGTATACATATATCTGTACATGTTCCTATTCACCGCAACAGATGTGACCTTGAAGCAACAGAGACTATGGCAACAGAGTAGAAGATCTGGCCTTCATTGCCATTGTTGGAAAGGCTTTGAGTATGGGTTGAAGTGATGAACTATCTCTCTTGTCTGATTATCAGCCTAGCTAAGTTCAGAGAGGCTAATCACCAGTTTTGATCAGAGGAGGACGAGCTTTTCAGTCATAACTCTCAAAGACTATCAAAAAAACCACCTTCTTTTCTATATCCTCTATCCACATCATGCAATCATGATTTCTCTGTAGTCTTACACAATTTTAATATCCCATCTCTCTTTTCACAGCTAAAAATTTATTAAAAGAACTCACCTCTCCTGCACCGAGGAACAAGATAGCATGCTCTGAGATTGGTTTACCAAGAACTTTCTGTACAGAAAGAAGACCTGATAGTGCCACAGAGGCTGTCCCTACAAGAAACAAAAATGATTTAACATGGGAGAGTACATTTTATAAGTTTTTTTTTTTAGTAGGAATCAAACCTGAAATGATTTCTACCTTGAATATCATCATTGAAGGTGCAATATTTTTCTCGATATTTTCTCAGGAATCTGAAAGCATTATGATTTCCAAAGTCTTCAAACTGAATAAGTGTGTTCTGGCCATATCTAAAACCAAAGCAAAACCCATACAGAGTTGAACCAGTCATCTTTAAATAGCTTATATTTCAAAATTTTACATTATATTCTTCTTAACAATTATTTCTGTTGTTGTTCAGTTGTTTCTAATTGTGTTTGACTCTCTGTGACCCCATTTGAGGTTTTCTTGGCAAAGATACTGGAGTGGTTTGCCATTTCCTTCTCTATCACGACAATTCTTTACTGGACACTTTTGTACTCACAATCTCATCAAAAAAACAAAAAACTAGGCATCATAATGGCCGAGAAGTGTTACTAATTCAACAAAGATCTACTAAAATAGAGTATTTTGAAAGAACTTAGAGATAAACTGAAGACACTGTCCCCAAAAGCCCTTCCTTTGAAGGACTTACAACCTAATGCTGTACATGACAGGTAAATATGAAAAATAACAGAACGGGGGCAGCCAGGATAGAACACCGGCCCTGAAGTCAAGAGGACCTGAGTTAAAATCCGACCTCAGACCCAACACTTGACACTTACTAGTTGTGTGACCCTGGGCAAGCCACTTAACCCCAACTGCCTAAAAAGTAAAAAAAAAAAATTAAAATTAAAAAAAAAGAAAAGAAAAATAACAGAACACAGAGCAATGTGAAATGTAATGTATTAGGTATTACAGTAGTTCTAAGGAAGGAAAGACATATGTGGGTTGGAGTATTCCCCAAGGGTTTCAAGTAGATCATGAGACTGTAACTTGAAGAATGGGTAGAAGACAGTTCTCAGATGAAGAAATTAAAGCTCTCTATAGTCATATGAAAAAATGCTCTAAATCACTATTGATTAGAGAAATGCAAATCAAAACAACTCTGAGGTACCACATCACACCTACTGGCCAACATGACAAAATAGGAAAATGATAAATGTTGGAGAAGATGTGGGAAAATTGGAACACCAATGAATTGTTGGTGGAGTTGTGAAATGATTCAACCATTTTAGGGAACAATTTGGAACTATGCCCAAAGGGCTATAAAAATGTGCATACCCTCTGACCCAGCAATAGCACTTCTAGGCTATATCCCAAAGAGATCATACAAATGGGAAAAGGACCCACATGTACAAAAATATTCACTAGCAGCTCTTTTTGTGGTGGCAAAGAATTGGAAATTGAGGGGATGCCCATCAATTGGGGAATGGCTGAGCAAGTTGTGGTGTATGAATGTAATGGAATGCTATAAGAAATGATGAACAGGCTGACTTCAGAAAAACCTGGAAAGACTTATATGGTCTGATGCTGAGTGAAGTGAGCAGAACCAAGAGGACTTTGTACACAATAACAGCCATGTTGTGAGATGACTAATATTGATAAACTTAACCTTTCCCAGCAATACAAGGATCTAAGACATCTCCAGAGGCCTCCTGATGGAAAATGCTATCCACACCCAAAGAAAGAACTATGGAAGTTGAACTGCTATTTTTTTACTCTTCTGTTGAGTTTTGTTTCCTCTCTCTGATGGTTCCTCCTACTGGTTTTAATTTTTACTTACAACACCACTAATATGAAAATATGCTTAATAGGAATGTAAATGTATAGCTTATATCAGATTGTGCGCAGTCTTGGGGAGCATGGTGGGGAGGAAGGGGGAGAAAAATTTTAAACTCAAAAGCATATGGAAAAAGAATGGGTAAAATTTACATAAAGGACAAGTGAGAGCATTTTAAAGTAGTATAACATAAGAAGAGCTGAACAAAGGGTAACAAAGATTTACTCAGGTAAAGTTAATTGAAATCAAAGAATGTTATGGTAGAGAGGAGTTTAGAGATCATTTAGATTTAGTATGCCACTCTCTATGTTCGATGTAGAGGGCACAAGAAAGTATAGCAGTCAGTTCCTAGCCCTCCAAAGTGGTTTTGTTACTTTAATTCAAATTTCATATACTTTAAAGACAGGTTTCAAATCATTCTTCAAGTTATCTACTTTTAAATAAGGATGTCTAAATCTTTCAAGAAAAGTATGATTAAAACATCTTATTTTCATTGCTTTCAGTTAAATTAGTCTCACATTTTCTACACTGAAGTTACAGAATCAGCATGTTGTAGTAAAGAAAGGTCCCTGGAGTCAGGAAGACCTGGTGGTACTTCAAGTCCTGTTTCTGAAACCTTTCACTGCTTCTCACAATATTTTAACACTCTATGTTGAAAATGAGTTGCCAACATGCATCAATAAAGGAGATTTCTATCCTGGGAGTTAATCTACAGCAACAAAATCATAGACGAGACCAAAAGAAATGGCACAGAAACAAAATATATCAGTAGATACAATAACTGCTTGAAGACCTGAGCAGTAATAAGTGTAACAGGAAGTTCAAACTAAAAATGCAAGATGGCAATATCTTGAGATCAAGATTTCAAAACACGAGCATAAGGTAAGAGATCAGCTTGAGATAAATACAAAAGAAAACGATCTAGGGATTACAGATGTACACAAGCTACATAACAAAATTTAGTATTGGGATTATATTAATAAAATAATGAATCAAGGGCCCTAATGGGAATAGCTCTATAGAAGATCAAAAAAATAAAGGAATGGAATTTAGCCCCTATGACAAAAGGTTAAAAGGAATTGAGGTTGTTTGGCCTGAAGAACAAGAGTTACTTGATAAACTGTATTCAAGTAGAAGAATATCTGAGAATGTTGTGTGGTTGTTCCTCAAATTCCCGGAGGACAATAAGACATGGGACTTAAAAGAAATTTCAGTTAGAATTTTCTCAGCTTTCAGGGTGCTAAAACACTGGAATGAGAGGCAAAGGTAACAAGAGCACCTCGTGTTCATTATTGAAGAAGAAAATAAACAAATATTTACTAGCTCCTGATATATGGAGTTGGTAAACTGTCAATTGTTCCAATTTTTTCCAGATAGGAAGATTTCTAATTTTTTAGGAGGAATCAGGATTTGCAAATTGAAGCAACAAACAGATAAACTGAACAGGCAAGTGTTAAGCATAGTGCAGAGATTATATATCCCTCACTCATCAGTAGAACTAATCAAGAAACAAAAAGAACTGACATGACATTTTAAAATGCAATCTCTTTCTACCTTTCTGGATCAGAAACTGAGAATTATTCTTTAAAAACAAACATCTACACCCAGATTCCATCAGTTGATTAATGGAAAGAATCCTGGACTTGGAACCTGGAGATCTGTGTTCAAATTCTGGCTCCTATGTGTACTATGTGACACTGGGCAGGTCACTTACTAGCTCTGAGCTTCCATTATATCTCTGAAAAAATAGACAATATTTTCATTATCTACCTCTCGGGTTATTATGAGCAAAGTGCTTTGCAAACTTTAAAGTGCTATGCAAATGAGGTATGATTTCATAACTAGGCAGTGAGGTGATACAATGCATAGAGCTAGGGGCTACTAGGTGACACAGTGGATAAAGCTCCAGCCTTGGAGTCAGGAGGACATGAGTTCAAATCCCAGCCTCAGATACTTGATACTTACTAGCTGTGTGACCTTGGGCAAGTCCCTTAAACCCGACTGCCTCACCAAAAACAAAAACCAACCAACCAACCAACCAACCAAAAAACCCAATGCATAGAGCTCTGGACTTGGGAAGTCAGGAAGACTTGAGTTTAAATCCCCCCTCAGACACTTTCCAGCTGTGTTAATACTTGGCAAGACACTTAACCTCTCTCAGCCTCAGTTTCCTATCTGTAAAAAAGGAAAAACAAGAGCACCTACTTTACAGGTTTGTTGTGAAGATCAAATGAGTTAACGTGTTTTCCTTACAAACTATTCTGCAAATCATAAAGTGGCATATAAATGCTATTATCATCTTACAAAGTTTTATTGCTATTTTTAACACAGAAATTTAAATTTAACTTATAATTGGAAGTCCCTCTCATACAAACTAGTAATTTTCTTTAATACTTTGATATACTTGTAATTTCATTAAATACCTGTCAGTAATGGCTTCCATAAATTCATCAATAAGGTCGTCGTAACGCTGGGAGCGATCTCTTTTCTGATATAAGCCCATATAAAATGGATCTTTTAATAGTGACTATAAAATAAAACAAACAGTATAAAAATAAATAACCTTATTTACATAATTTCTATGTAAAAATGTAGCATTAAATTAATTAACAAGAAGCTAAGATTCTTGCCATTTTTCCTAAAACCCCTTTAGTAGCTTTAGACTTCACTTTATCACACCAGATATAATATGTTTAGTTTTGGCCACAAACCTGCTGCTAAAACAAATTCAATCAATAATTCAGAGCCAAAAATATATAATGCGTAGAAAATTTCTGCCTTTCTTATTCATCATTTAGAAAAAAATACAAGAGAAATAATTTTCTTAACAAAGAAGTGGAAGACAAATCAGAGGGTGGAAAATGTTAAACTCACTGGATTGTCAGTTCCCACGTCAATACACACAGGGAGGCACTTATCTGGTCGTATTCCAGCACAAGCTGTATATAAACAAAGCTTTCCTACTGGAATTCCCATTCCATAGACACCCAGATCTCCAAGACCCAATATTCTCTCTCCGTCAGTTACCACAACAGCCTTAATTACAAAAAGATACACATTAAAAGTTAAATCAAAATATTAGAGGTTAAAATGGTATTTTTACAAGATTGACTTTTTACTGTACTTGTAACTATAACTTTGTAATTCAAATTATTTACCTTAAAAACTTTAAAAGAAAATAACCTAAAAAGTACACTTGACATTCTAGAACTACTCCTTGATAAAAGCATATTAAAAAGGTAATGAATTAAAACTAATTTCTATCTGCTAAAAGTTCTGGCTTAAGTACAAGTCTTCTCCCTGGTAAGCCTTGAATTTAAACATAAAGGCGAAAGAATGTGGTAAAGGAACAAAAGCCTTACATGTGTCAAATCACTATACTTATGGAAGGAATACAAAAGAAATTGTCACATAAACAACACCTGCATGAGGCGGATCACTAAAATACTGTAATGGATGAAAACGGCTCTTTAGCTAAAGATAAATCTAAAAGGCTTAGATAGAACTGTGAGTTTCATTCTCTCAGTATTTATCCCTTCAGTTAGAACTAATAAAGTTCTTTCCAAAATAGTTTGGGGTTTTTTTGGCTGGGCAATGGGGTTAAGTGACTTGCCCAGGGTGTCACACAGCTGATAAGTGTCACGTGTCTAAGGCTGGATTTGAACTTAGGTCTTCCTGACTCCAGGGCTGGTGCTTTACCCACTGTGCCACCTAACTGTCCCGAAAATAGCTCTTTTAGTGAGGTATTCAAGCATAAAAATGTAAAAACAAAAGCATCTACAGCTAAAGGTGCAAAAATCATATTTGATGAAAGAAAAAAGGAGAGGCAACTTAGTACAATGGAAATGGTAATGGATTCGGAATCCAAAGATTTGAGTTTAGAATTCTAGCTCTATCTCTATAAACTACTCTATAAACTCTACCTCTATAAATTTTAAAATGGGGATAATACTAAGGTGCCTCATGCTGTTGTTTTAAAAACGTGGAGGAAAATGTATGCAAAATGCTTTTGTTCAAACAGGAAATGGATCTAACCTAGAGCTTTTAAAAAAAAAAATTAGAAAATCTAGCAAAGTAGCCTTACATGTACAATAAAATCATGAGCCCCCAAATAAAACTTTCCAGTATTTTAAATACAAAGAGACTAAAGTCTAAAAGAAGCTGGGGGCAGGCAGAGGTCAGCACTGTCACCCTCCTCTCTTTGAATCAGCAGAACTTCTCATCACTGATTCCTAAAGAGAAAGGCTACCCCTTACATTTGTACAATACCATGATATCCTCATTAAAAAAGCACTATGACATAGAAGTGCAAAATAAACTATGGCAACAATGAAAAATGTTGGTGTCTATGTACATAGGTAACTTAAAGGGAAAGACAACATTGCGAAAGGGAGAGTTGTGCTATTAGTACCTTAACATCATTTTCTGGCCAGTTATCCACAATTGATCTAACATGGCCTCTGTCTGAGATTGAAATAAATAATCCCCTGCAACAGAACAAAAACACTTTTGCACTTTACAATAGTTTGCTTTCTTCTGTGTTATGAAATCCCTCCCTCCCAACTATTAGTAAGTTAGGCTACTTTGTGTAGTTTGTTGAGAAAAGTCAAGCCATTGCATATTTCCAAATTGATCTAATTATGCCACACTGATAAAACTGCTCATTGCACAGCTGTAAGGGGACATTATCATATTTAAATGCCGTCACTGTTTTATGTAGGATAAGGCTACCATACTCAAGCTAAAAACTACCAAAATGATATAAAAGTCAATCATGAATATGAGAAACTATGAAACTATAAAAACTTCTATGAAGTAAATCAATATAAAAACTTCATTAAAGCTTAAAAGAGGAGCAGGCAGAGAGAAAAGAAAATATATAAAAATCCGTCACAGAATATATATACTTTACAGGAGATCACGCTTTAAAGTGCAAAGTCATATGAAATACAATATTCTTATCCAGAGTAAAAGGAAATTTAATTACTTGGAAAAAATTCCTCCCTCCCCCACCAAATTGGATTTTAGAGGATGCCGTCAAATAGAAATCAAATAACCGGAATCCACTTTTGCTATGATTTCCAATCTTGTGCCAACTCATCCTGACACTTAATCTCTATGTTGCTGTTCCAACTTTGAATCTAACCTGGACCAAACAATCATATGTCAAGCAACAAATATCTATTAAACATCTAATATGGCAAAAAGCACTGTACTAGGTATAGCAGAGGATAAAAATGTATAAGTCATGGTACTACCTGCAAAGCTTAAAATTTTACCTGAAGAGATAAGACATGACAAGGTAATAAATATAAAGCATGAATGGCATAGACAAAAACTATCACAGTATCTTGGAGTTAGAAAGGACTTTCAAGGTCATCTAGTCCAACTCAATTCTGATGGGGAAAATTTTCAACAACCTCCAAAACAAGGAAGGGGAAACTAATTACCTGAGGTAGTCCATTCCCCTACTGGGTAACTATAGTTTTGGGGAAGTTTTTTTTAATTCTTTCCCTTTGCCAGTTGGTACCCTCTCACCTAGACATACCATTTCCTAAGTTCTTTCCCCAGATCTCATGATTCCCCCCCTTTCCCTGCCTAAATCCCCGGATTCAAGTTGAGATTGGGAATAAGCTGCTCTCTTCCTTTCTGTATAATTTAACGAAAGATTTGTATTGTTTTGCTTGGTAAAGAGGGCTGTCATGAGAGACACAATGTGGCTGTTCAGATATTTTAAGACTATTTTAGAAAAGGTTCATCTCCCTTAATAAGGTAAGACTCTTGAGCCAACAAAAAGAGATGTCCTAGAGTAGGCTCAGATTCAGTCATCTCCACACATACAAGATTCTATATCCACACAGATAAATATACATAGGCCTGGCCTAGGTCTTCAATGTAGATGAAGAACCAGAAGGCAGGTAAACCTTGAGGTACTCCTTTCAGAGTAGGTGTAGGCACTGAGGAGTCATCAGTGTCTGGATCATTAGTCCTCCCAATCACTCCCTTTTTTTTTCTTCTTCTAGGATCAGACGCCCTGATTTCCCTTTCAGCTGAAGAGAAGCTGAATACCCACCCTTGAGATCCACTTTCATGCACCAAAGATATTCCTTCCTTTGCCCTCTCACATATAAACCTATCTCAAGCCCTGCAGAGGCTCCTCTACAGCCAAGAAGCTACACAGAGGACCCCTCAGAATAAGTTTCCCCACTCTTCACACACACAAATCTCCCCCTCCCCCACATGTACACATCCTTCTATGTCTCTAGCTTTCAGATCCCTTACCCCATCCTCCCACACACACATCTGTCAAAGTAGAGACAGATCAATGAAAGCTAGAAGTCTTCAGGAAGAATAGGCTAAGTTCAGCATTGAAGCTTTGAGGTCAGCTAGGTAGAGAAGTGTGAGAAGGGCATTTCAAGTATGAGAAAGAAAATGAGCAGCCAGAGAGAAAATAATGATCAAGGGATGGTTAAGGGATAATAAGTTCACTAGTCTGGATGAAGCAAAAAATCCATGTGAACAGTAGGAAGAAGAGCTAAACCAGTAGGTATGGGATGAGTCATGGAGAGCAGTAAAAGGGAATGACATAACCAAGTGGTCTTTCCAGAAGGACAATGGGTGGTAGTGTGCAGGATGGACTAGAAGGAGAGTCTAATGGGAACAGTACCCATTAGGAGGCTACATTTCATTATATTTAGCTTCATATCTGAGAGAGAGAAAGAGAGAGAGAGAGAGAGAGAGAGAGAGAGAGAGAGAGAGAGAGAGAGAGTGAGAGAGAGAGAGGAGTGTGAAAGATATATGGCAAGATCTTTGTTTAGCTCTAAAAGCATTAGGACATAATGAAATGATAAGAGAAAGAAGCTAACAGAACTTGGTGCTACATGGATTTGTGTGTGCTCAAGAACTAAGAACTAGAAAAACTGCTACCTAGTTACCTAAATGAAAAAATGTAGCTTTATCAGTTTATCTTATGAAAGGGGGAAAATGGGCAGAAAATATAAAGTTAAAAAAGAACTGAGGAAAGTCTCTTAATCAGAAGGTACTCATGGCCAGATTGTCAAGTATAGTTTTAGTGAAAAGTAGAATGTATTTCTACCAGAATTCAGAAAAGAGTTCCCAAAGAGGTACCCTAGTGTAGTCAAAAGAACAAAAGACCTCCATTTTCATCCTCGTTCCAACACTAAATTTCTCTGAACCTAAATTTCCTCATCTGTAAAAATAGCAATTAAAATACAATTTACTTACAAAGTACTTTTCAAACTGCAAGGAATTATATAAATATTAGTTATTATTACTTAGTATTGTGCTTATTTTTTTTGAGCATGAAATAGATGAAATTCATATAATATTTTAGGGGCAATAGGAATACAGCAATAATCACTGCTGTCAAAAAGGAAGGTTGCACGTTGTTTTTTCTATCACTTTCACTTAAGCTATCGTAATACAGAAAATGGATGGAAGACATGAGGAATAAGAGGTATGTCAACATACAGGAAAGAACTGCAGATTCAATAAAGTATAATATAATGTCTTTTCTATAAATCATGATCATAATAATTTCTAAATATAAATTAGAATTAGACTTACTTTGGTCTCCGAAAGATGTGTCCGTATTGTGAACAGGCTAGACCCACTGTTGGGGTATATACTATTGGCATTAATCTTTCAATATCATCTTGAAGAATCCTATAAAATAACTTTTCATTTCTTTCTTGGATTCCCATTATGTAGATATATCTGAAAACAAGCATGGTAAACAAACAGGCTTAGAAATAATTTACTGCTCATGCTAACATATTAATCTTCCAAAAATATACATGAATATAGTTCTGCATATTATTACTTGGTTAATACTATGGAAAGCATTACTTTTTAAAGCAATGTGATCATAAAAATTGTTTCTGACTATATATTCAGAAAAATAAAGTAAAATTTTTGTTCAACTCTAGGAATTAACATTAACCAACAAAAGTATTTTCTACTTATGTACTTAAATATAAAACAAAGCAAATTATGAAAGAGAACTAAAATATTTATAGATTCTAGGAATGCAAACAATACATAAAATAGAATTGACTAAAAACAGATTATTACAAAGCTCTTCCTATAGCTTCCTTTGATCTGGGCAATAGAGAGTAGAGAAGGTAGTATACAAAACCAAAATAATATTGTCACAATACTTCTTAAGAGTAGATTAAATCTGGTCACACACCTAGTAAGTACCAGAGATGAGATTTGAACCCAGGCCTTTCCTAACTAAATATATCACTCTTTCCTTTATACCATGCTTGCTGAGACAAATAAAGCATAGCCAGAATAGGGAGGCTAATTTGGTAAGTGGCTTGAAATCAATGTTATGTAAGAAAAAAATACAGAAAACAGATACATGAAATATAGAAATATGACTTGGAGGAGGACATGGCAACTATTTTCAAACATATTAAGGGCAATCACATGGAAAGGTGATTTGGCTTATTTTTGTAGCTTTAGAGGACAGAAAGGCAGAACTAGAATAAATGGAAGCAGATTTTGACCCATTAAAAGAAAGAATTTTCAAATAATCACCTAGATACAAAGAGATATTGTAGGGGAAATTCTTGCACGGGGTGGGAAGTCAGACTAGATGACCTATAAGTCAATCTAGGAATTAGAATTTTTTTCTAATTCTAGTAGTCTATAATTCTATTGAGCCTACTATGAGTCTCAAAACCTTTCCTAACAATAATTTACAATGATAAATAAAAGTGAAATAAGGTTATTTAAATAACTGAAAGAAAACAAATTTTAGTAAAAAGTCAAAGCATTGGTTATACCACCATAATAAAATGAGTCTAAATCTTACAAATTGGAACCAACCTCCCCCCCCAATTAACAAAATACAAGTTTCTGACAAACTCTTACTTTTCCAAAGGATCACTTATTTTTTTTATGTTTCTATGGAATCGTAAAGCTTGAATATCCTGTGTCTCTATTTTAGGAGGTAGAAGTCCTTGAAGTCCAAGCATCTGTCGTTCTCGCAATGTAAATGCCATTCCCTAAAGGAGGAAATGGCAAAATATTCTTTATAAAAAATTGACCCACATTCATAAGCAAATTTCAGAATTATTAATTATTTGGCTTTGAATTATCTAAATCCTTTTTCTCTATTCATCTCTACTCCTTGGCTTTTTTCCAATCCCAACTAAAATCTCACCTACAGGAAGCCTTTCCTATTCCCCTTAATTCTAGCGTCTTCCCTCTGTTGATTATTTCCTAGTTATCCTGTATGGAGCTTGTTTGCATGTGGACTCCTCCACTGGACTGAAGGTTCCTCAAGGATAGGGACTGATGTTTGCCTTTCTTTGTATTCTCAGCACTTAGCACAATGCCTCAAACATAACAGGCTCTTAATACATGTTTACTGACTGACTATCCTTTTGCTTCTCCTTTCCCTCATTATTAGTACCTTACAGGTGAGGAGGTGAAACTCAAACAGCCAATTTTACTAGCACTGATTAGCTATGACAAAAGGCTGGGTGGCTAAAACTAAGTTTTAGGGAATGTCTATGGATTTTACTTATAAATGCCTTTTCCTATTACCATTACCATAGATAAAAGTTGGGATTGGGTACTTTCACTATATATTTACCATGAGGATTCAAGTAATATATCAAATATTACATTTGTGACCCAATCTAATTGATTATTAAAGACAATTTTACATTAATTGTCATATATAACATACAGTGATTAACACAAAATCTTGGTTTTGGTAGATGACCTGCAAAAATTTCCACCTAATGCTAATTAGTAAAGTTAGTAAATTTCATTAAAACCTGCTAGGCAGCTAATTTCCTTCTAGAAAACACAAGCAGAAATTAAGTCCTACTAGTTTATCATGAGATGCTCTGTAACTAAGATAAAGCTTTTTTTAATCTTATGAGCTTCAAAGGTTGAGATACTTTCATGACTTTTAACATACTGACTTTAACCGTGCCTTCTCCCCCTCAAAAAGCTTTTTCCTCCCTTTTCTCTTTTACCCCCAAACTGGCTTGAGAGATGGCCACTTGTCAAGCATGCTGTGCAGGTATGAATTAGATTAAATGTCTACTGAGGTCCCATCCAACTGTGAGAATCTATGAAGCCAGTAATAAAAAATAAATTAGGTTTTCATGTCAGGATAAAGTGAGGAGGGCTGTCTCCAGATAACTGGCATATATCTTAACTAGAAACTCACATATTTTTAGATATATCACAAGACAAAATAACTAGCATGAATTATTTTGTCTTTATTTCCACTTAAGCCAAGATAAAAATGCCAATTTAGAATGAATTTTTGAATTCTCTTTCAAATATCTGAACATCAATTTCCTAATATAAAAATTCCACTGATATTTATGGACATTGCTTGTAATATATGGCAGACTATTAGACCTACATTATACTTTACTACGAAATGTGATTTAAAATTTTATTACTAAAATAAGTTGCTACTAATTCAATTAGCTAAAATTTTATTTGGCAAAAAAAACCTGTAAAGTTCACAAAAGCAGGTCAGTTGGGAATAGGGTTCTTTTCCAATTTCAAAGTAATTGCTTTTAGAATACAAATAAGAAAAGAGTTAATAAGAGAAGCCCCTCTACTTAGATCTACCCTCCTGTATTTGTTGAGAAAAAACCCTATTTTAACTACCTATCAGGTGACAGTAATATCTACATTGGGCTTTGTTTCAAGTTAGAAATGGGTAAATAAAAGGGACACTTCATTAAGTTCATTTCCCTCACTGCCCTCTAAGATATATTCTGAAAGTAATGTTACAGGTGGGCTTACCTATACAAGCTTTAGCTACCTTTGCAATTAAGTGTTTTAATGCTGTCAGAATCCAGAAGGCTATAAGAAGCTGGGTTTTCTAATTAAGAGTTATACATCTTTCTAGAGTACTATTAAGCATTTTAGATGGAAGTCTTCCTAGTGAAAGGTATTCACTACCTAACTATAAATGATCTGTCCCTTAGTTCAAACCAAGGTAGATTCAAAATACCTTACTTCTATTGGAAACAGAACCTCTGCCAGAAAACTCCATCCTTAAAAATGCTGTCAGAATCCCAAAGGATTCGTGATGAAACATGCTATCCACCTTCAGAGAAAGAAGTGATGATGTCTGGAAATAGGTTGAATCACACTATTATTTTCTCTTTCTTTTTGTTCAAGTCTTCTTGCACAAAATGACTAATATGGAAGTGTTTTACATGATTGCACATATTTAACCTTTATCAGCTTGCTTATTGTCTCAAAGGGAGGGAGAGGAAGGATAAAATTTGGAACTCAAAATAATTTAAAAAGCCCACAAATTGTTTTTACACGTAATTTGGAAAAAATAAAATATAAAATACTATTTTAAAATGTTGTCAGGATCATCTCTGAAGCAAATTCCACAGAATAATAAAACTTTCAAAATTCAAAAAGTTCATTTGATGTTATTTATTTGATAACTTGGCTGCATCATTTATTTGATGGCAGCAAAATATTGCGTTAAACTAATATATAAGGAGAGAGAAAAAGAATAGTAGTATTAATGTTACTAACTTTGTTTGTTCTTGGATTCAACATTAATGGCTTGCCTTTTTCTCTGGTGTGCACATTTCGACATGCCAATGTACAAGGAGAGGCAACTACTCTTAATCTGGAGAACATAATTTCTTTTACCTGGAAAAACAATGGAAAAAACCAGGATGAAAACATTGCAGGGTCAAATATACATCAAGCTAAGTATTAGTTTTCAAAAGCATATTCAAAAAGCTTTAATGCATATACAAAATTCATTTTTCAATTTCTAGCAAATAGTTTTGTGATCTGAAAAAGGAAGTGAAAGAACAGAAGAAAGAGTAGAAGACAAAACAGGAGAATAAGAAGATGAGATGAAGGGAACAGCAGAAGATGAAACAATAAGAAAATTTTGATTTTGGTGCCATCATCGAAACTCATATAAAGGCATACCCTGATATACGGTGTTACTCGTAGGGCTGGTGGAAGCTTTAAAACTGCGAGGGCAGGCATTCTGCCAAATTTGTTTTCACAGGAACCATTACTACCATTATCTAAGTAGTGGCAAGTTATCATCAAAAGGAGGGGAGAGGAGAGGTTCAAATCCATTGCCAGTTCCATAGATCACTTAAATATTCATGGTAAATGATGTAGAGAGGAGGACAGGTAGTATTATCTAGAGATGCATAGGGAACTATGAAAGGGCTGAAATAAACAACCAGGTGGGGAACTTAACTTGGGATATCCTAAGAATGGGTTAGAAGTATGTAACTTGAGAAAGCCTAAAATTTCAAACACACCCATACTGATAAAATGAATGTATTTAGAACTTCACAAAACAGGCAATATGGTGTTGTGGATAGAGAGCTGGCCTTGAAACTAGGAAGACCTGGATTCAAAGTTCTACCTCTGGGGCAGCTAGGTGGCACAGTGGATAGAGCACCAGCCGTGAATTCAGGAGTACCTGAGTTCAAATTCGGCCTCAGACACATAACACTTACTAGCTGTGTGACCCTGGGCAAGTCACTTAATCCCACTGCCTAGCCAAAAAAACTCCCAAAAAACAAAAAACCAACCCAACAAAGTTCTACTTCTAACACATACTGGCAATATAATATTTAGAAATCTCAAACTCAACATGTCCAAAACAGAACTCATTATCTTTTTCCCCAAACTCTCAAAGCCTCACCCTTATTAGTCACCCAGGCCAACGACTTCAGTATCTATCATCCTCAATTCCTCATTCTCACTCCATATATAAAATCTACAGCCAAATTTTGTCAGTTTCATCTTCATAACATTTCTCCTAAATGGCACCTGCTCTCAACTCACATAGTGACCACCCTAGTTCAGGATCTCTGATTGGTCTCCTTGCTTCAAAAGTCTCTTCTCACTACACTTTATCTTCTACTCAGCTGCCAAAGTGATTTTTTCTAAAACACAGGCTTTCTAAAACAGTTCACTGGTGAAAAAAAATCTTTGCAACAAGTTTCTCTCTTAAGGGTCTCATTTCTAAGAAATATAAGGAACTGACTCAACCTTATAAGTCTAAGAGTCATTACCCAACAGATAAATTTGGTCAAAGCATATGACTTTTTTTTTGCTAAAGCCTTGACAATATATTATTAATTTAAGGTGGACTGTTCAACATTTAACAAGTTACATAAAAACATCAGCTACATTATTACCATGTGTAACTCTAGAACTGTAATACAAATTTGCATTGATTTCAAATGTATGTGTTCATATAAAATGTAATAGATTTATTACTCATGAGAATTAATACTAACTTAACACTGCAAGTTTTGTGTGGTATAATCACAATAACTGACATTTATATAGTGCTTATTTATAGTGTATTATGTGGTTCACAGATACTACATTTGATTAACATAACAACCCTATGGGGGGTAGGTAATATAATAGTAATTGCCTCCTTTTTGTAAATGTGAAAACTGCGCTTCAAATAAGAGAATTGCCCAAGATCACACATGTAGTATGTATAGGATGTAGGGTTTAAATTCCCATCTTCTTGATTGTAAGACCAATACCCAAACCATAACAGTGCATTATCCCCCACTTTATCTGAAAGAGTTCTGGACTTTAAATCTTATCTATTTAGTAATTATGTGCCCCTGGATAAGTCATGCATCCTCTCTGAACCTCATTTTACTAATCTAGAAAATGAATTTAATAATAATAACACACAGAATAAATGTGAGAATTATATGATAAAATGAGATAGTTCATGAAAAAGCATGTCTTATATGAATGGCAGCAGCAGCAGCAACTGGTTTTGCTGAAATCCTTGGTTAATTCCTTTTGTGTCACTGGGCAAGTTTACTTCTGAACAGAAGACAATTCATAACAGATCAGGGTAACAGAAACCCAGTGAATGACTGATTTATTGATTCCATGAAGGATGAAATCTAAAGATGAATATGCTGTAGTAAAAAGTACAGGAAACTTGAGGTTCCATTTCAGGTCCCAGTTCCATTACCAACTGTGTGATTTTGAGATAACTGTTTCAACTGTTTGGAAATCTGTTTCCAATAAGATGAAAGGGAGGAAGATTCAACTATATTATCTCTGTGCCCCTCCAACTTCTAGTTGTAGGTCTAAGATCCACTGATTTCATAATCCCTTGACTTAATAAACAGAGTGAAGCCAAGATAAACAAAACACTGATTGTTAAGATGAAATACTGAACATTAACATGCAATACAGGCAGGAAATATGCAGTAATAGCATTGAAAAGCCGAAAACCTAAAAGAAAATAACATGTTAATAACGTGATTAAAATGACCATCCATTTTGACTCAGACATCTCACTGCTAGGCATATGCCCCCACAACATCAAAGATAGAAAGAAAAATACCATATATGCAAAATCATTGGAGCAGCACTTTTTAAAGTAGTACTGAAGAGCAAACAAAGTAGATGTTTTTTGACTGGGGAGTGACAAAATACATTGTGGTACATCAATGCAATTGGACATTGTTATACAAAGATACATGGAAATATTTACATGAACTAATACAAATTTAACTACACAGAACTCAGTTAAAAAATTTTAAAATGACAAAAAATGCAATGGAAATAGAAATAACAACATTTGACTAGTAATAACTAAACTTGGCTCCAAAGAAGGGAGAAACGTATTATCCTCCATCATCTGCAAAGGAGGAGGCCTATTGGATTTACAGATTGATTTGATTGATAAATTACTTTTATGCAACAGATTACATGACAGTTGCATGATTATGGGATTTCTTTCATTTATGGGTAGGATAGAAGGCTGATGGGTATACTATTAAGACTATATGTTTATAATTAAGTTCTTTGGGAAGAAAAGGTACTGTATTTAACAATGAAAGTAACATAAATATATATGTGTGTATGTACATGTGTGTGTACATATACATATATATATATATATGCTTATATGTATATGTATAAATTTTTGTTTTTAAAACATAATTGCGTGGGGCAGCTAGGTAGTGCAGTGGATAGAGCACTGGCCCTGAAGTCAGGAGGACCTGAGTTCAAATCCAGCCTCAGACCAAACACTTAACACTTACTAGCTGTGTGACCCTGGGCAAGTCACTTAACCCCAATAGCCTAAAAACAAACAAACAAAAAACCCCCAACATAATTGCTCATACAATTAATCTGTCCTGCTTTAACCAGCCCTTGTCCATAATTGATGTTGGGGGAAATGACTAAACATTGCATTCCTGATACATATTTGTTTCCTCCCTATATAGGTGACAAAATCATCATAACCACAGGCATTTTTTTGCAACTAACAAAGATGTGGCAACAACACTAAGGACTATGAGCTTCTGCCCCTCACTTACGCACACCTTTGTCTCAGAGCATTGCCAATGCCAGCTTTTGTGACCATCAATGAGGGTTTCATATTCTTTTGTACAAAGATCTTGTTCATTTCCCTGTTATGTCCAGTGTTTGTCTCTGCTTACCAAAAGCAGACTGTTACACCTTTATATACTGTGGGATGTCTATTTTCTTTGCACTAAGGTACAAGACATAAAAAACAGCATTCTCTTTATTATTCCCTTTGAACACTGTTCTTTTTACTCTATGACAAGCATAAAAAGAACTACGAAGGAACCATCCCCAAAGCTGACATATCTTACCCCAGTGAGACAATATGTAGCGAATCAGGTCTCAAGTAAATAGCTCAATATGGAGGAAATGTTAAATACAAATGATATGAAACCTGGAAATTTGATTTTTATTCAAATTTTTGTGCAATGATGCACTGAATAAAAACCTAAGTACATTGGGGACTTTCTTAATAAATAACAGACTTTTGTAAGGGGGACACATGATCATTTTTTAAAGGAAGAAATCCAAGTTATCAACAATCATATAAAAAATGCTCTAAAAATCAATAACTAGAGAAATGCATATTAAAGCAATTTTGATATTCCACTCCACACTTATCAGACAGGCAAAGCAAAAGAAAAAAATTTACAAATGTTGGGGGAGCTATGGGAAAATAAGTACACTAGTTGGTAGAATTGTTAATTGGTTCAGCTATTCTGGAAAGCTATTTGGAACAATGCCCCTGTCTGTCCCCCTTAGTTAATGTGCTCCAATTTTCCCTGTTACCTCCAGGATAAAATATGGTCTTCTGTTTGGCATTTAAAGCACCCCTTCCTCCCTTTGCAGTCTTCTTACAATGTATTCTCCTCCATGTATCCTACAATCCAAACACACTGGCCTGTCTGATAGTCTTCCAACAAGATGCTCCATTTCCCATCTCCATGCCTTTATACTGGCTGGCCTCCATGCTTGGAATGTTCTGCTCCTTCACTTCTGCCTCTTAATTTCTTTGTGTTCCTTCAAGACTCAATATTAATCCTAACTCCTGCAGGCCTTTCCCATCCCTTTAAACTGGTACTGATTTCCTCTCTGAGATTATCTTCCATCTTCTCTGTATTTATCTATTTACATGTTGTCTCTCCCCCTAGAAAGTAAGCCCCTTGGGATCAGGTACTCTTTTAGTCGTGAAATCATAGGTACAGTAACTAACCTTACACAGAACTTAATGTGGATGAAATTCATAGATAAGATCTATACTGATGTTTATTCAAGAACTAAATGTTGATATAAATGTTGACTATTTCTATGCT